GCACGTTACATTAGACTGATAATATCTGACAATTATACTTACCAGCAACCAATGAAGAGTTTGTTCAATCGGTTTAACACTTGTTACAAATGGCCGATTACCAAAATTCAAATCACGTAATTGTGCAATTTGTACATACACGTCATTCCATAGAACAGCCAATGAAAACCTCCCAGACCGATATTAATCTTTAAATGAATATATAAGTAGACCAATATGTTAACCATTTAGTTTGTAATTTATGATTTTTTACATTCATCTGTCAGGCTAAGGACATGAAAAGAAAAAGATCGTATCAGAAAATTCATATACGTTTATAAAAGTAGACCAATAATACATCATATACTTAATATTCAGTTTAAAGCCAACTTATTCTTCCCTCCTTAATAGAAAAGGCTCTCATAAACACTATTCCCTTTTAAATAAATATTCTACTTTAACTTATTTGTCTGCAGTTCATTTTTAAAAATCATATTTTAGTGTGCATATGTTGAGTAAAATCTATTATAATTATGTAAATTGGAAAAAAGATGTTTATTGGTATGGGCTTTTTTGCCTAATGGAATGTTGAATAAAACTTTGTAAAATGTCAGCGTGTTATTACATACCTACTATCCATTCAAACGTTTAAAATCAGGTTATTTAAACAAAATTTGTTTACAGCGACATTTTTATGCGATAATAATTTAATTGAAATTAATTGTTCACTACCCGTGAAAATATTAATCAAATTCAAGCTTTATTACATTAAATTTCAATTGTAGATCGAACTTTATATACCTGAATTCATTTTATACTTTCTTACTGACAATAAGTAGATTTTTGTTTGCGATTTGCGAGATAAATAAAAGTACTTTTTACTCCAAAAGGTAACAAGTAGTAGTTTTGAGGATAAAGCATCAAATTGCCGGAGAGAAAAATGATTGTATTAACATAACATAACATAACACAACATAACATAACATAACATAACACAACATAACATAACATAACATAATATTTATTCAGCATTAAATGTTACAACATTTATAGCCATTTCAATATATAATACAAACATATAAGGGCAAGTACATGGTTAACAGAGAATTATATACAAATGATTTATACAAATTAATCTTAAATTTTTTTTTTAACAGAGTGAACATAATTGATTTTTAAAGTCTTTCCTTAACAATATTTTTCATCATTATTACCATTTATCTGTTGTGTTATTTCTATAGTAAAACATATTACAAATAATATTTTCTCTCGTTACGAGCAACATTTGTGTTTATTGAAACAATTCAAATATGGACCGGTTGGAGATCCATTTCATTGTGTTTATATTAACTTAAGTTTTGACATAGTAGACACAAGTTCGAACCTTGGACAAATCCTGTTTGCTGTTTTCATAAATTGATTATTTATTATATATTTTAACTATATGAAACATAAGTTGATATTTCGTGTGTTTCATTTCTAGCATTTATTTTTAATTCATAATTTCGATTATTTTTTATTCCCGAGTGTACGACTTTACATTGTGATTTGCAGGCATAACACATAATGGTCAAGTTTTGAAAAATATAAACAAATAATACAAGAAAAAAATCAAAAAAATCACTAGACCGAACCTTCAGTCTTCAATTTGAAACTAACTGAAAATCTACTATTCTACTTTTTATTATAACCATTTAATACATGTTGTTAAGACCAGAGCTCAAGTGAGAATGACTCAGGTATCAGAGAGGCATGATCATATAACATAGCATTAATGAATATCAAGTAAAGGGAAGTAATCCCATTAACTGTACAACTAAACATGTAAAGAGTTATCTGATCTTGATATCATAACAAAATCTAACGCCTTGCCATCCAGGCTTGTAAGGCAAGTGATATATGCTGGTAATTCTACTTGTTATTCTACTTTTTACATATACCGTTGTACCATACATCGAAATCCATATAGTTTACTTCAAAATCCGATAATTACCAACAAATAATTACCGATCATCGAATACTTGCCAAGTGACTACGAAAATATATATGTTAAATTATTGCGCGAAACAATACAATTCTACTGTAAAAGAGGTGTCTGCATAAAAAAATCATTTTTATGCGCTATCGAAAAAATATATGATTTATTTGAAATCAATATTTCTGTCATTACACACGATATAGTTAACATTTAATTGCTTTTTAGTGCGATAAACTATCAACACAAAGCTAGTTTATTAGTTTTCTCTATTTATCTAATACGATTCTTTTCCCATATGGAAACATGCGCGACGGAAATCGACGGAATAGATTACCATTATATATTTTAATAAAGTGCCTCTTAAGCATAAAATTATTTTGTGATGTTCAACTTAAACTAAACTATTAAACGTTCTAGAAAGGGTGTCAGAATAATCATTGAGTTTCACTGTAGATATTTTATTTACAAAGAGTTAATGTTTTTCTACGGCGATACACTGAAGTGTATCATTTTGTACAATTATTGACTAGTGAGCCATTGAATATGAGTCTCAGTCTATTTTTAGACTGGGAAAATCCCAGTGAATATGATTTTATAAAAAGTTCTGTTGACAACTGTTTAGACCAATGAGATTGCAGCTATATTAAGATAATAATTAAATGTAAACCTGTTGCTGTGCGTATATTAAACTCTTTAACATGTGATTGTCAAATTCGTTATAACAAAAATGCGAAAATATGCGAGTTTTGAGAGAGATTTTACATCAGTTTAGGAGAGACACACTGATAGTGTGTAGCGTTTATTTTCTTTTTTGTTGAGAAGAGAATTTGTCGTTTTGTTGATTTGTTGAAGTTCATTGAATGTTATTGTGGTGATCTTTATTGATCAAGGTTTATTGGTTGTAATTAGTTGTTGAGTTATATCTGTTTGGTAATAAATATTTTGTTGAAATTGGTTGAATGTTTGTCTGGTCAAGATTATATTAGTTGATATTATTTAAATATTGGGTGCTTCAGTTTAAGTTGTTTCCTGATGATGGTTAGATTTTGTAAAGATAATATTGTTGTTTGAATGTTTGTGGTTTATACTGTATCTTAGAGTTGTAAAATATTCATATGTGTGTTCTTAATTTTGTGGTGATTTTATTGTTCTGTTTGATCATAAGTTGTTTAGAGCTTGGGCTCGCCAGGTGTCTAGTATTGTTTTGTATAAAAGACGTTTACGTGAAAAGATATTTATAAGTGGTTGATAAATGACGTGTGTTTATTTTGGGTGTTAATAATGATCAGAGCTCTTTGTTTTGGGTGTAAATAATAATTAGAGTTTGTTGCTTAAATATATATATATTGATTTGAGACAGAAAAAGATAAAAAATACCTTAAACAAGAGGGCCATGATGGCCCTGAAGTCGCTCACCTGTATATAGGCCCCCAGAGCGGGGCCAGTTTAAACCCCAGGGCTTTTATTTGAACAAACTTGGTAGACACCCATTAGAAGATGTTTCATGCTAAACATCTTAGGTCTAGCTAGTCAAGTTTTTTCTTTACACATATAGTTAAAAACAATGACACACCTGGGGCAGGGCCAATTTTGACCAAAGGGCTTTTATTTGAACAATCTTTGTAGACACTTGCTAGAAAATGTCTCATGCTTAATATCTAAACTCTAGCTATACAGGTTTTTTTCAAAGAAGATTTTTAAGTTTTTGCTATACACATATAAGGAAAATCAATGTCCCCCGGGGCGGGCCAATTTTGACCCCAGGGCTTTTATTTGAACAAGCTTTGTAGACACTCACTAGAAGATGCTTCGTGCTTAATATCTAAACTCTAGCTATTTGAGTTGTTTCAAAGAAGATTTTTAAGTTTTTGTTATACACATATAAGGAAAATGAATGACCCCCGGGGCGGGTCCAATTTGACCCCAGGGCTTTTTTTTTAACAAACTTGGTAGACACTCACTAGAAGATGTTTCATGCTTAGTATCTTAACTCTACTAGCTCTTTGGGTTGTTTAGAAGACAAAAACATATAAGGAAAATCAATGGCCCCGGGGAGGGGCCAATTTTGACCCCAGGGATCTTATTTGAACAAACTTGGTAGACATCCATTAGAACATGTTTCATAACCCATGTGACCCAGATCGTTCGCTCACTCTGTTGTTCCAGAATATTTATTCAAATTGTGAAAAATAACACAAAATTGAAAAGCGTTGCAACGCGTTACACTCAGATCTGAGTAACAATATCACAAAAATACGATTTTCAATTTATTTTTGAGTATATTTCTTAATTATCTTTTGCAAATTTGTCTGCTTAAAGTGTCCAAGCTGATCAATGTAAGAAATAAATTTATGATTTTTGGCTTTTGAACATCAATGGAGTTCCTGTAAAACATGATGAAAAAGCGCTGAATGTAGAAGGTGGCAAATGTAAACAAAGTTGTATGTTGACTTCCATGTTAATTACTAAATTCCTATATCTTTACTTATTGCTAATATACAAAATAAGCAAAACGTTCTTCGGCTTTATGCCTGAGGAGTTATATTTTGGGAATTGTAACAAGACATCCAAATTTAAAAAGAAAAAATGAGACTCAGTGGACCTTTAATGCTCCAACACAGCTGTATTTGCCAAGTTTTGTTTTATTCAATAAAAGATTTGTTACATCTTTTTAGTCATTATTCGCAAGATATTATATCGTATGTTTTTCTCAAAAGATAACAATAAAAGACAAATATCTAATATCATAACGAGAATCTCGTAATTGGATTTTTCTCTTTTAAAATAAATTACAATATAGAATCATTATTTGTGTATATATATATATCATTGTTTTTGTCGATTATAATTCAATATCTTGAAGTAATATCTTAGAAAGCAATAACAAAGAGGTTTGCAACTGGTAAAAATCTCATTATAATGTTCAATAAAAAAGGAATAACTATTCTACAAGAAATGAAATTGCGTTCATTTTACTGTGTCATGCTGCATTATCAACATTCTGTTCTTTCAAATTAAAGTAGTTTTAATATCATTTAGAAAGATGCATGTGAATGGTTATGAACATCAGAATTATTCTTTGGTTAGTGGGCTATCGATTTATCGCCTGACTATTGCAATAGCATAGTTCACCTTTTGTGAAAAATTCACAATTCAACCTGCCAAAAGCCAAAAACATAAATAAACAAATAAAATAATTAATAAGTAAATTTCAGCAAACACATAAGCAAGAAATTCCATTATTGTCCTTATTGGTTTGCTATATCATGTAAGCTCTCTTTAAAACGGGAAACTGCGTAGAAACACCGGTCTTCTGTAAACTGGATAGCTGGATAGCAACTTCACATATAAAATGTATGCAAAGTGGCTAGTAATATTTGAACCTGCAACGTTGATTAGCAATTGATTTGAAGTCAATTTCCTAAACAACTATTTCAGCCATCCATGTATGCTTCCTTTGTATAAAGTTAAAGGATAACTTGCCCATTTGTACTTAATAAGACAACGTAGTGAATATGCAACGAAGCCTTAACATTATGCTTATCAGAAAAGGGTGAGCAAAGTTACCACGAGAAACAAATAAAGGGTGTACCTAAATTATAAGTAGCTTTGTTTTTCTGATGTTTTTAACAATCGTCTTAAAATGATTTTAACTAGAACCGGTTTAACCGGGTGATGCTCCCCGAGAATGTTTTGGACACAGGAAAGTATAAAAAATGAACAAAGGGCAAAAACTCCACAATTAGGCAAGGCAGAGTTATGTTTTTTTGCAGTGTACTATATTCAATGAGATCTATCTATAAAGTTTCGTGATGACATCTCTTATAGTTTCAGAGTTATGTCCCAGGTAAAATTCTAAGTATAAAAAATGAACAAAGGGCAAAAACTCCACAATTAGGCAAGGCAGAGTTATGGTTTTTTGCAGTGTACTTTATTCAATGAGATCTATCTATAAAGTTTCGTGATGACATCTCTTATAGTTTCAGAGTTATGTCCCAGGTAAAATTCAAAGTGTAAAAATGAACAAAGGGCAATAACTTCATAATTAGACAATGCTGTGTTAAGATTAGCATTTTATCAATACTTACACAAATGTATTGATAATTTGTAGAACTGATAATTAACTTCTGAAAAATCAAGATGAGCGAAGTCGATTAACTGCGGCAATTGCATGCTCATTTGACCTTTTTGTTAATTGCAAACTGGAATCAAATTGATGTTATCAAGAGGAGAACGAATGATTTTAAGTACTTAACGTTACATCGTATAGTTGAGTACTATTGCCCTTACGGACATTTTATAACAAAACCGGTTTGTCACGGTTCGTGAGTAAAATTTTTTGTTTGGCGGGTATTCATTGTTGAAATCAGTTCTAGCGAAATTTTCTACGTTGCAATTTAATGCCTTAACCGGCTCCTTTGTTAAAAACGGTCTAGTAAAGCAATTACCGACCGTTTAATAGGTATGCAAATAGATACCGACCTGTTATTGTTCTATTGTTCACTATACAAAAGAACATATGTAGTATTTGTTATAGTAATGAAAATGTTGTTAAGTTTTCAAAAATCTAAGCAAGTGTAAGACTCTTGCCTATCATGGACCATGCTACTATTTGTTGTGGATATAATGTAGTTATTTGCAAGACTCATATAAAATTTGACATTTTTCTTTCAGTGTGAAACTGAATGAGACTGTTTTTCCTTTGCTAATTCTAGTTCCCATTTAGTCATAATGTGTTAAGCGTTTTGTCAAAATGACAGTTTGGTGTTAACATAACTTAAATGGTACTTATGGAGAAAATCTCAAGAGTTATTGAATATACATCTATGGTGTATTACTGTATCCCAGGCTGTAGCATGTGCAGAAGCTGGAGTAACACTGATCTCACCATTCGTTGGTCATATCTTTGACTGGGTAATATTCATTTTCTTGACGATAGATCGAAATAACACCGTGCTCTGTTACATTAGGCTATATTGTAAAAAGTTGATGTGAGGTATTGTATACATATATGTTGCATTACAGGCTGTAGCATGTGCTGAAGCTGGAGTAACACTGATTTCACCATTTGTTGGTCGTATCTTTGACTGGTTTGTTCAGAATACAGGTCAAAAAGAGTTTGACTACCTTGAGGATCCAGGTATGTTAAAATATTATATATATATATTTGAGTATACTTTACACAAAACTGATTTGTATAGCAAATTGCTAATAAAACAATCAATGGTTCTACCTGCTTGGGCCTGAAATAATGTACGGAGGGACACCTGAGGTCTTCCTCCACCAGTAAAGCTGGATAGGCATCATAAGACCTTTTCTGTGTTGGTCCGGTATATAACTCAACAACCAAAAATATTTTGTATGTTTTCAAAGAAGCGCACCTTAATGTTCATAATGAGGCAGAAAATTATCTGTGACAATGGCTGTCGGACATTGAGTCTAATGGTCATTTGTCTCTCAGTGCTGATTCACAAATCATTATGTAATTTGAGTAGAAATTGGTAATTGCTGGTTTGTTATTAAAAGATACAAAAAAAAGAAGTCAGGTTTTATGACTGCCAAACTATGACCTTAAGTTGTTGAAATCATTGTAAAAGGGCATATAGAACAGAACAGTATATAGTGCGCCATATGCAGGCTGCAATTTTTATGCTCTTCAAATTTTGATTTATTACGCTTGAACAAGCTGCTTTTTTGGGTCTTGATTTTTGGCAGGGACATCTATAAACTTGTAACCAACATGTTACAGAAATTGATTTTATGATTTATATTTGGATTTATGAGTTATTTTGAATTGAAAAAGTTTTTGAAAATAACAAATATTGGGAAAAATTGGATATACAGTATAATTATATCAATTGTGTTGGTGAACACCAAATCACCTGAAGTCATGGCTAATCCATGTACAATGACAGTGAGACAGTACAATAGAGAGCAATTATTGGATTGTAGATCTGTGCCTAGAAGCTATGTTATACCAAATGAAGAAACGTTATCTTTGTTGAAAAAAAATTATGGTATTTTGAATATAGAGGTAAACGAGCTGGCCAGCCCAAGGATTAAACATAATGGTGGTGTTCATTTGGCAAACTTTGGCTAACCAACATTTTCAATTTTGCCGTGTTTGGGCTTTCTTTAGGGATTCTGTTTTTTATCTATTTTATGATCACATCCGTGTTATTTGTGCCGTGTGGCGGCTGTAAAAAGTCTCCCCGTACATTTAATCAATGATGTTATATTTTCGATCCTTGAAGATCGTTCAGCACGACATTATTGTTGTGCTTGTGGTATTTTTAGTTTCAACTTTTCGGCATTTTCTATTTGGGTGGTTCCAATATTCCTACTTGAATAATGTTGAATCACCCTTAGGATATGTTGCCTGCTTTTTAAATTTGTCTTTTGACGTCTTATCTGTGATACGCAGGCTTCATAACCTCTGATCCCCTTTCAAAATTCCATTTTATTTAGTTCCGCCCATTGTTTTCTCGTTTAGGGCACACGTATTTTTTTAATTGGGGACCATACGCCGCTTTTCATGGAATGGCACTACTGTGTCACATTGAAGGTTCCATGATTACCGCCGTATGAACACATCTGCGGATGTTTCTAAATTCTAAATTTTACTATTTCATGTTTAAATGTTGAATTCTGCTTAAGCCGGTGCTAGGGGGCGTGGACGGTAACTTGCACTTTCCAGTACCGTCCATGAACAGGCTCAATCAAACCGAGCCTGCAACATTTTCAATTTTGCCGTGTTGGGCTTTCTTTAGGGATTCTGTTTTTATCTATTTTAGTTCAAATTAAACTTGATCACACATACATACAAAATGTCCATAGACAGAGAAAAATGAAACTTGCCACAGTTAATAGAAGATCTATACGGAATAAATCGGCAGATCTTCTCCAGCATATCCTTGAAGAGAATATTGACTTTTGTTTAATTACGGAAACTTGGCTACAGACTGATGGTGATGATTTTGTTAGGGGTGAACTGGCTCAGGAAGGGTTCTGCTTTGATGATGTACCCAGGCCTGATCGTAGTGGTGGAGGAATAGGCCTTCTATACAGAGATAACCTGAAAGTGTCAAGCCTACCCAGCAAATCGTATCAATCATTTGAATGTGCTGAATGGCAAATATGTATCCAAACATTCATACTTAGAATCGTTGGCATTTATAGACCGCCATATTCTGCAAAACACCCGGTCACTCAAGCTACATTCATGACTGAATTCACTGAATATTTAGAACAAGTATCATCTCAATCTAGGTCCATGGTAATTCTTGGGGACTTCAAGCAATTCCAACAATGTTTGAAATCATATGGACTTGTTCAGCATGTGAATACTCCAACTCATTCTAGTGGGCATATTATTGACCTGATCATCACAAAAAAGGAAGACAAACTTGCTAGTGTAAACAATCTTCAGTCTAACTATTACATCTCAGATCACTGTTTTGTTAGTTGTAATATTCAACAATTCTGCCCCCCTTTGGTTACAAAAAACATCATATCACGTAACTGGAAATGTGTGTCGAAGAACTTGTTAGAAGCCGATCTTGAAGAGTTAAACAGTTTAGCAGAAAAATCATCTACCGTGAATGAACTTGTGTCTGATTTCACAAAGACTGCATCTGATATAATTTGTAAACATGCTCCATTGAAAGAAAGATCAATTACTGTTAGACCCAAACTTCCATGGTACTCTGGATATCTTAAGCAATTAAAACAGTACAAAAGATCAATAGAGAAAATATACTTAAAGGACAGGTCAGATCTCACAAAAATAGTGTACAATAATGTAAGAAACTCCTATACTGCGGCAATAGCATCAGCAAAGGATAGGTTCTATCAGAGTAGAATCGGAGAGGCTGAAGGGAATGTGAAGAAGTTATATAACGTGACTTCAGACTTGCTTGGGCGTTCGAAGGATAACCCACTTCCACCTCACACCAGTGAGACGGCACTTGCAAACGATTTCTTGCGTTACTTTAGTGACAAAATCCTTAAACTTCGTGATGATCTGGATAACATAAACACAGAAACATCATCTTCAGTGATTGATAGTATTATGGCATCTGATGTACCATCAAGTGAAAATATCATGAACAAATTTATACCACTAAATGAAAAAGACATAATCAAACTTGTGAGTGAATCAAAAACAACAACATGTGAGTTGGACGTTATGCCAACACCAAAGCTGAAAGAAAATCTTCATTTGATTGCACCTGTTGTGACAGAAATCGTGAATCGGTCATTGTCTTCTGGTGTTTTTCCAGAGACGTGGAAGAGCGCTGTTATTAAGCCCCTTTTGAAAAAGAAAGGCCTTCCCTTAGAATTGAAAAACTATCGGCCTGTATCAAACCTGTCATTCTTGTCGAAAATTCTTGAAAAAGCTGCAATGAACCAAATTTCAAGCCACATTGAGTCCAACAATTTGTTACCATCTTACCAAAGTGCATACCGTAAATTTCACAGTGTTGAGTCTGCTATGATGAAAATGTACAGTGATCTGCTAGAAACAGCTGATAGCCGCCATGTGACAATAGTTGTAATGATTGATTTAAGCGCCGCCTTCGATACTATCGATATACCAATATTACTTGAAATCCTACAGAAAGACTTTGCCATATAGGGTATTCCATTAAAGTGGATCGAATCTTATTTAACCAACAGAGATATGAAAGTAGTCATTGAACAGTCTTCATCGGATACTGAGCCACTGAGGTTCGGGGTTCCCCAGGGTTCTTGTGCTGGACCGGTGATATTTACTCTCTATATAGCTGCCCTTAACAAAATAGTCCAGAAATATCCGGCGGATTTGTATGGATATGCAGACGATCATAAAGTGGCATTTAAAATTAGAGCTGGTGACCATCACAGCGAAGAAATCGTTCGCCAAAAATTAACTGACTGTCTTAATGATATTGTGTCATGGATGACTAGATTTAAGTTAAAAATGAACAATAGCAAGACAGAAATCATCATTTATGGTACAAGACATCAGCTGAAGAAATTGAACATTTCAAGTGTCAATGTTGGTGGGGTCGAAGTCAACTGTGTTGACAATGTGAGAGACCTTGGAGTACAGATGACCAGCACTTTAAGTTTTGACATCCATATTCAAAAGAAGTGTCAGATTGCACACATGCAGTTAAGAAATTTGAAAGCAATCAGAAAAACATCTCACTCAGAAATCTGCAGAAATCCTTGTTCACGGTTTGATTCATTCACATTTAGACTTTTGCAATGGATTATTCGCTGATATTCCAGCCTATCAATTTGATAAATTACAACGTGTGCAAAATTATGCTGCTAGAATTGTCACTGGAGCTGCTTACTATCAATCCAGTGCTGAAATTCTTAAATCACTCCACTGGCTTCCAATTCGAGCAAGAATCATGTACAAAGTTATTGTGACTGTGTTTCGTGTTGCAAATGGCACCGCTCCATTGTATCTTCGTAAATTGTTCACTAAATGCCAGAGTCAGTACAGGAAAAGACTGAGATCCTCATCATCTAGCCACATTCGGTTTGATATACCATCAACAAATTCAAAACTTGCTGATAGATCCTTGGCCATTGTGGGACCTAAATGGTGGAATTCATTGCCAGACTATCTGAAGGACATTACCAATGAAAATCAGTTTAAGGCTAAACTTAAAACATACTTGTTTGGACTGTTTTTCAACTAGAGTTGTAGATTGGCTGTGCCATCGATACTGGGTTTGGGAGTGTCTTGATCAAGCATATGTGTATATAGTCTTAACAATGTACAGCGCAATCGAATATTTAATACATTTTTGCGCTATATAAATGTCTTGTATTTGTATTTGTATTTGTATTTGATAAGATTGTCTCTGTGACTAGATATATGGCAGTTTTCACCATGTTATATTTTGCTTGCTCTTAAAGGCACATTATGCCTCCGTAATAAATAAATTTTCTATTATGCAGAAATCATATGTTAGAAATTATTGTTAATTTATTTTAAACATTTGAGATGTTCATCACTTGAATGAAATAATGTTGAATGTAAAATAAATTGTGATAAAGGTAGCAAAATGTAAACAAAGTGGTATTTTGAGTGCCACACAAAATATTGATGTACTATAACTGTGCTAATTACCAAAACACAAAAGATAGAAAGACTGCTCAGAAATATGACCAATGAGTGACTTTTTGGAAAACTCTTAACACAATACCAAAAATAAAAAGCTTTTGAAAAATTAAAACGATATAATTTATGAGGCTTAAATGGGCCTTTAAAATGACATGAAAATGTTTGTATTATAGTTGTGAAAAGTGTGACACGTATTAATAACTTTTACAAGAAGTTTGGCTATCAAACAGTCGTCATGGGAGCCTCCTTCCGAAACACCAATCAAATCAAAGGTCTTGTTGGTTGTGACCTACTAACAGTATGCAATATCGTAAGTTACCTTTTTATTGACACAAATAATGTATTAAGGAAGCAGTGACCTAGACGTTTTTGCTTTCGAACACAGGGAGTATGTATTTAAGCCCTTCAAGGGGTAATGATCATGACTTTATTTTTGTGATATTAGTACATGTTAATTTTAGAAATCTCAAGATCGAATCAAAAAGGCTTAAAAACAAGTTATCAATACATGTATACATTGTACTTTAAAACTGCAACCATGTCTTAGCTATATTGCCAGCATATCTGTCTTCATGTCTTAGGAGTTTGACAAGGTTCTACACTCTCAGCGCCTTCATTTTTTTGCAATTTAACATCAAAGTCTTCACAATAAATTGTTTCAATTCAAAACAGGACAGATTCATATTGAGAATTTTAGCAGGGTACAGGTTTATATTTATATTTAAAATTCGGATTTTAACAAACTGAAGTACCAAAGTATTGAAAGACCAAACATTTTAATGCATTTTTGTAATTCTTTTTTTCTCTATAGCCTTTCACTACTGGATAAACTGTCTAAATCAACAGTTTGGAGAATAGCTGAGAAAAAAATCAGGTAAATTATAATGATATAGCAATAACCAAAATATAAAGATGATGACTTATTTCTGTATGGTTTTAAATATGATGAAGTTGATGTACAAACGTGGGAGGAATACTTTTTTAAAATCTCATTTAGCGGCTTCAACCTTGAAGCACACGGATGTTGTTGGCCCTTAATACATAATCATTGCTAAAGGGATAAAACCCTAATTAAAATAGCAAAATATTTTTTTGTTCCAGAACATTTTATTCTGTTTATGTACATTATTCATGTGTGTTAAATAACAGAGACATTCTATATTACATCTTTTTCGGGAATCAACCAGATAATAATGGATCCAATATAATTTTACTGTTAGAAAATTTTATAAAAATATTTCATAAGATATAGATTTATACCCTTTAAAAGAGTTATGTCCCCTTTAAAGTAAATTTTTGAACAATTCTTGGTTTCTGCAGGGCAACTTTGGAAGGATTTATCTTGAATGCATAGTTTTGCCTGTGATACTTTTTTTATTTAAAATGTCCCATTGGGCATATGTTGTCCTGCCTCACCGCTAGCTGAGCTCTCGTTATGGGTTGTTGAGGTTGGCAAAGGGTGGCAAATAAGTTTTCCCTTGTCTGCCAATGCCTTCCACAGTACTGCTGTCACATTGTCTGTTGGCACACTTACAAACTTTATTGCATATTGTTGGTTTTTACGTATGTTGTCTTTTATTAATGGTTTAGATAAACTGCATCAGAAAGTTGCCATATGACCTACATTTGGTAGTATAACTTTTTACCCAAAAGAGAATAAAATCTCAAATATTATAAGAAATTGTGTGTTCATTCAGAAATACCTTTTCATGCTTAGCATCTTCAAGTATACATGTATGTATAACATATATAAATGTATAAACCACTTTATCCACTGCCATATTTCCTAAAAAAACCTGGGAGCTTTAATATTGTTTCACAGTTATAGCTTTATTGTTTCATAGTTATTCCCCTTTGCTTTGTGTATTTTTTTAACAAGATGCTGAGCATCTTGCTTTATATTCATGAATAAACATTCATAAATAAAAAAGTAAAAATATTTCTATATCATATCACATATCATTTTATGGTTCAGAAGTCATAAAGAAGGGAAATTAACTTGATAAATGTTGTTGGTAAATTAACTTTATACATCATGAAGGGTGGTTTACTATAAATATGAAGAGTGGTTAATTTAATCAATTGTGAACGGAAATGGATTAGATTAGTTAACTAAATAAATTTTGATAGAAAGTTAATGAAAGGCATAATGGTGGGCAGTTAACTTAATAAATTGTGAAGGGAAATCAACTAAATGAAATGTGAAGGGCAGTAAACTAAATAAATTTTGATATAAAGTTAATGTGAGAAATAATGGAGGGCAGTAAGCTTAATAAATTTTGAAGGGAAGTTAATGTTAGAAATAATGATAGGCAGTTAACTTGGTAAATTGTGAAGGGCAATTAATTTAATGAATTGTGAGGAGCAGTTAACTGTATAAATTTTGATAGAAAGTTAATGTAAGAAATAATGGAGGACAGTTAACTTAATAAATCATGCAGGGAAATTAACTTAAGGAATTGATTAGCGAAGTTAACTTTATAAATTGTGAAGGGAAATTAATTTGATTAAAAAACATGAGGGAAATTAACGTGATGAATTATGAAGGAGCTTAAATTTATCAAAATTTCTTGGGGCATACTATTTATTGCATTCAGTTTTGACATGATGTGAATAAAACACATATACATAGAGCATATTTACAATCTTTTATAATTAACATTTTCTTTACTGTTTGCATTAACACATTCTAAGAAATGAATAAATTTCTTAGAAATTGTAAATTTTTTACAGGTACAATAAAGACCTTTTTATTTACATCATAAAAATAGTTTTTCTCACTCATGTTAGGTATTTAAAATGGTTCATTATAATACAAATCTGAGTTCCAAGAAGTTGTTATTTATTTCTTCATAATACTTATGAACAGACTTTTTTCTCCAACTATGGTTGTATAAGATACATGTAGTTTTATTTTTTTCATTTGCTAGACTTAACTTAGCATGGTGGTGGCTTTGCTAGATATAAATTTTTGAAATGATATTTTCAAACAGAAATCTCAAGGTTTGTTAAAATGCAAAATTATAAAAACAAACAAAAAATGAAATTTCAACTTGAATGCAAATAATGTTTTTCATAAAATTACAGGTGTTTTGTTTTACTATTGCATCGAATTTATTTATATTTTTACCCTACATAAAGTAAAAGAACTACTTAAGTTAGGGAGTAAGATTTTACAATTGTGCTTTTAATTTGCTTGACTTTCAGACTAATTTTTTACGATTATAATTATATGAAAATCATGTGTTAATCGGAGAATGTATAATATTCTAAAAGATATGATTTCTGTTTTTCTATTGATGTATAATGAGAAAACTGTTACTGATTTTTTTGATTATCTGTTTCTAGAACAAATATATTAAAGAAATATATTTTCTATGAAAGATTTTTGTTTTTTTTAATTCTTTTTCTCCCAGTATTTCATCCTGCCGTCAAAAACATGAAAAAATAAAAAAAGTAGTTTCTAGGACATTTTTTGTCTTTCACACTACAGTCATCTTTTACATTTACCAGACCAGTGGTTAACGCGTCGGACAAGTAATCTAAGGATGCTGGTCACGTGGATTAAAACACCGTCTATGGGAAGCTGCTGTTGAATGTGGCCATATGATCATGACAGTGTTGGTGCGATGTTAACCCCTCTCACATAAAAATAATATTGAAATAAAAAAAAAATAATAATATATATGTTACAGAATGAAATATTTGAGATCTAAAGGAATTCTATTTTCTTGATAAAAAAGGATGTTTAATATCATTCATAAAGTACATTATACTATTCTATCATAAAATGTAAATGATAAAATTAGATCTTATTAAATTTTAGTAATTATATAAAGAAATCAGGATCTCATGTACATTTCTGTAACATGTATATGCATTTCTCTCTTTGCTATCTTTAAAAATGAAGAGTACTCTGGTGACAGCAACAACAAAGAACAGTGAATTGCCGTGGTAAAATCACATTCTCTATTTCAAGAAGAAGAAAAAAGAAAACAAATTCACCAAAAACCGACAATTTCAAAAGAATTTCTTGAAAATACCAAAAAGTTGATTACATAGTTTTCACTTCAGTTTTTTACGACTTCATACACATTTCAGACAGAAGTTACCGGATCTGACAACCTGTAATTTTAGATGTCCTTGTCACAGCGCGCGTAGCGTTTTTTATTTTATTTTTTTTCTATAGTCATGAAATGTCAATATGATGCTGACCTTTATTTTATTTAGAAAATTGTGGTGATCATATGTGATATCAGTTACATGCCGGAGTAATTGTTCTGTTATGTATGAGCTATGTTTACAAATAACAACATTTATCTGTAATTTGCCATATTTTGCCGAGTAGTTGATACGAGTTCAACAAACTTTTCAAACTTGAACAGAGGAAATCACGGTACATATCCATATCGGTACCCTCTTTGAGAAACCTACTAAAACATTACCCTCTTTGCACATGCACAGAGCATTTTCTACTGAAAACAAGTAGGCGACATAGACCATTCTAGTAAATGATCATTCTACTGATAATAGGTGGTATGTCGAGTGAAAATGAAGTATACCACGGAACACTAGAATGTTTTAACTGTCTTTGACCATTGACCATTTTCCAATTACTGGAACTCTACAATAAGCTACACAAAAGCGCGATGTTTTGCCCCAACCACCGCCTCGGCATGTTCTGTAGGCCAAAATGAACTACTCATTTGATTATGGTCACATCATACTTTTTACATGTACTCATTTCTGTATTATCTTTGGACAAATATAAAAAGTATAAAAATGCATTTGAAATTCATAAGAACGCATAACTTTCGGCTTTCAGCGGTAGGGGTTACCTCTTTGCTATTGATTTTTCTTGTCAAATGTAGATTTCGCAGAGGGTACCGCATCGTCGGATACCCACGATTGATTAACATGTAACACAACATGCAATCAAACTTATAAAATTGATGTTAATGGTTCGGCCATGGGTACTCGACGATGAGAAGACCGATATGTATATGCACTCTAGAAATTGTAATCGCACTAACTTTAACTAGAATCGAGATAGACACAAAACTGGCCCTATTTAGAAGTAATTCGTAAAACAATTAAATATTTTAAATACATTTGGTTTTCGCGAAAAATTAGTTTGTAACTTTGTGAATTTTTAGAACCCTTGGGTAGGGTGGGGGACTCGGGTCACAAGTTTGATTCTTAAAATGAAACTAGTACTGGTTATATTGTCCCAGAAATCAAACTGATATTGTTAAAATCTTCAAGTTTTCATCCAACAGAGCATGATATACATGTACATGTAAAATAATAGATAACTCATAAACCAACAATTCCCCAAGTTATTTTGTACTTTACACTTTTGCTTTGAAGTGTCAGATGTAGTATTCCTGTCACCATTCCACGACATAATAGATTTACAAATATTAATATTACTATTTAAGCCTTTGCCTTTTATTTTTATCAGTAGATCGCAAATGGTGTGGTATTTATCCTAAACTTAAAGGTTATCATCTCAATTTTACAATTTCAGGCAATTTGTGTACTTTTTATGGAGATACGCCATGAAAATATAGTTGCTATATAAGTCACAAACGCTTGTTTCTAAACTTATCTGTGTTACAGAAGCGCTCGGTTCGTAAAGTCTCCAAAAATGGCTATCCTCACATCTTTGGCATGCGTTTGGTTAGGTTTAACACTTGTTGCAGGTAAGTTACTTTGTAATTATTTTAACTTCAAAATTGGTTGAAAATTGTGTAATTTGGATAATAGTAACATTAAAAGTATACAGTTTTAAACGATTTATGTTGTTTTTCTCCCCAGTCGTGAGTGGCAATTGCCCACCAGTAGAAGAACTTCAATGCGGAACTCCAGACGTGTGCCCTAAGAACAGACCATTTAAAGTCTTCTCATACATACCACCTGGTCCCAGCACAGGTGGATACCAATGTACGGGCTGTGGATACTGTGTTGCATCGGGTACTTATATTTACCATACAAATTGTTTTTAACATCAATTTTGTCAGTGTTATAAAACTTAAAGAAATACCTTCTGGCTTGAGGAATTTAGAAAAAAAATAAGTTTAGTGATAGTTATAATGTGTATGTTTGTAGAAATAATAATCTGAAGCATTTTAAAGAATGTGCTTTAAAACAGTTTATAGTTGTGCATGTTTTATTGTAAAAATTACACCATTTTGCCTCTCACAAAAGAGATATCATTTGAAATCGTGCTCTTTTTTAACGCATATATTGTTTACTGAAGGTGTTTGGTTTGTAAATTTATAGAGACAATCAACGCGGTCCGGATCAAATTCTATGAATTACTTTCCTACTTTGTTTGCTAAAGAGTCATAAACCTTTATGCACGTGCCATCTCGACTTTTTGTCACGTATTGCCATGTTTTTGTTTTTTATATATTGATGTTTTTTCTTAGGGCTTTAGAACAAAAAAAGTCTTCTTCTTTTCAATTGAAATCTCTTTGATCTAAAGAGTTTTCTATCATTTTTTAGTTTGTATAAGTATTTCGTAGTATACAATATACATTGTATTATACGAAAGACCAGTTTCTTGAACTCTCGAATACATCTTCACGAATTAACAATTTCAACTTCATGAATTCACGAGTTTTACATACATAGTTAACAAATTTACGATTTCAACTTCACGGATTCACGATTTCAACTTTTCATCATCACAAATACACTACATGAATTCACGTTTCGAACTCCACGATTTCAACTTCGTGAATTCCGTACGTTGAAAACGTGAATTTACGAAGTTAAATTTTTTTGTGAATTTACGAAGATGAAAAACGTGTAGTGAATTCATGAAGTTGAAATGTCCCCACCGATCTTTCGTAGTATTAAGTCACATTTGTTTAAAGCTTTTAAGTTACATTTTTGAATTTTGTATTGCTTTTAACTGGCAGCTTGCTTTAAGCAATGACATATAACGAGGCACTTTTAAGTCCTGTAGCATTAAGAGAAAGTATCTTCAAAACTGTCAATCTGTTGGTAATGGACCGTACATATTCAGTATACTCGTATCATTAATGTCAACTGGTACAATAACACAATAAGACTTTTATTTTGTATTATTATTTTGCGGTTTTATATTGTTAGGTATATATTAAATGAATTTATATAAATTTTGGACATATTGAACTTGAAACCATACCGGAAATGCCAATTCAGATGTTTTATATTTCAAATAAAGATCAATAATTGAATAATTGGTAACTTCTTGCGTGACGCGCAATATTTTTCGTCTTATCGCATTGTCATAATAAGACACATTCAGAGATGTCAGAGAATCATAAACAAAATATAAACTTTGAGGTACAATTACAAATATTATTTGTTTCAGATGAAGTGTGCCCGGAATTGCCGTGTCCGATGTTCCACCCAGGGCCCGGCTGCAATGTACGTCTGTACCCTGTCATGTTGAATGTTGCCGGAAATCAGTGTATGTGGCAGTGCGATGTGTTGAGGTGTTAAATAGAGCAATTATTTAACATTTGCTTTCGTTAGTTTTATACTCTTCACTTCACATGTTTAAAATATTTCAGGATAAACGTTACGTTTATATTTTGTTAACATTAAAAATAAGCATCAAAAGAACTACAAATTATTTTGACAAAACATAGAAAAAAAACAACAAAACATTGTTTCTGTTAACTATTATGCACATATTGACATAAAATCAAAATATACTCACTTTTTCATATAAATTTGTTGACTGCCTTAAAACATACCACCTGGGTAGCGATACAAAGATATTGTTGCGTATCGCTGTCTCTTGTATGTCTTTTATTCTACTAGCATGTATTCGCTAACTCAGAAGAATAGTTCTTCGTGGTATAGAGCTTCTGTATTTTATATATATATATAAATGACGGATCGGGCGGACACCAAGCGATCACAAAAATTCCTAAGATTGGGCTATCAGAGGATGACTCCGCATTAGTTTATTGTAATTTATTTTTGGATGATATATAAAGGTTCTTTAATATAAAACTTCTCAAGTAACAACCAAGACGATTTCAAGTTAACGATGTTTATTTACGGACTCACCGTAATGAACTATATATTATTTAAATCTTGAACAAATGTTGTATAATTATATTAAACAAAGCCTGCTACTTGAATAGTATTAACAACAATGTATATAATTTATATATATCCGAATTTATATTACTTCGGTAAAATGATGTATATCTGTACCAGTGACGGCTGTTAAAATAACATATCAATTAGTATTTCAAATATCGACTTTACCGAAAATAACTTTATGAATATAAATCTGTGTGCGTACGTTGTGAGGTGTCGGCAACTTAATACAATAAAATTAACAATAAAAAAATATTACTTTAATGGAAATTTCATCTTTAATATACTATACTCATGTGCTCTTTGCAAAATAAATTTTTCAAAACAACTGTTTAAACTTTCCAAGAACTCTGAAGTTTCTATGCTTAACTTTATGCAACAAATACTCTTTTAGAACAAAAATTATTACTTAAATCTTTATTAATAATGCTTTTAAGTATTTAAGAAAATATGCTATCAAAATTACCAAAGATGTAACTTGTAAATAATATCTAAATAATATCTGAATGAGCTTCTGCTTCTAATGTTTTGATCGAGCGGAGTGACTTCCGACAGGAAAACTGCGCTTTTATAGTCAAGATTCCTACACTGTCCCACACTGTGGGAAACTTTAAGAAAAGTGTAGGAAAGGCTCCTAAAGGGTTTCCTACAGATCCTACACCTCCCACAACTTACATCAAAGATAAAAATACAACATAGAACAATATATTTAAACACATATTACGTTAAGCTAATAATTATTGGAATTAATAAAAACATGAAACAAGTGAAATACCGTTATTATGTGTAGAGATATGAAATTTTAAGATTAATAAATTAAATGTAACCCCACTTTGTACCCCACAGGTAAAGAAAAGTTTTTCACAAGATGATGATGTCATAAATCACCTAATGTGTGACGTCATATTTGTAAGCAAACAAAATGGCGGAATATCAATACAATGGTTACAAGTTAGAATGTTCTTCTTTGAATAGAGGAATAATTAATGCATCTAACGGTAAAATTACTCGTGAATTATAAAGTTAATGCATCTCTTTGACTTTATGATAAACTTTGAACTTAGTTAAAAGAGTTTTTATTAATAACTACACTGTTTATTTAAAACAACAGTTCATAAAAATGGGTGGGGTGTGGCAGATCACAATATCAACATCACCTGTGGAGTTAGGACCTTTGTTTAGGGATAAAATCACTGTTTGAGATGATACATTATTTCTTAAATAGTCGAAATAAATTAATAATAAGTCAGCCCAATTCGACCATACAAGGCCCGACTTTCTGCTTTCTCGTTCGCAATGGAACCTATCACTCTCAGTTTAGGATTTCCCTATCTATCTTACCCACTGATAGATTTCATTAGTCAGCAAAGTCAACATTGTCAGATATTTCAGAATAAGATTAGTGTCAGCAACGTCAGATATTGCAGTAGCAACGTTAACACGTCAGATATTAAAAAAAAGAAATGTTTTAAGCATTTTAAGCAACGTTAGCAATGTCAGGTATTTCGGGAAAAGTATTTGTTCTGCAACGTCAACAACGTTAAATTTAAAAACCTTATTTTCAACAACCTCAGATGATTGGGATTAAACTCATTTTCAGTTGTTATCATTGTCGGTATGTTTACAAATATAAAAGTCCTTTGGGAATAATGTATATCAGATAAGATAGGTGATTACCAAAAGTACCGAAATGAACGAGTCTTGGGTTTTCAAAGATTTGTGCAGATCAATTATACCATACAAAGTCATTAAGATCGTTTGAAAAACAAATAATTATTGAGGACTGAAGGGAATACTAAACGATCTCATTCAATGATAACATTACATAGAAATATTGAGGTTATGTATATTGAATTAGAATTTGTAAACGATAATTGAAAAGATTTGTTACGAGGCAAGTCTTCCATAAAATATTAATATCATGAAAACAGAAAAATGGGCGTTTTTTAAGGGGACTTCAGAGTAACACGTTTATGCCATTCCATTAAACCGGCGTATGGACTCCAAGTCTCGTGTGCCCTAAACGAGAAAACAATAGACTGGAATTTTGAAAGGGAATCAGAGGTTATGAAGTTTGAATATCATAGAGAAAACGTCAAAAGACAAGTTTAATTTAAAAAGCAGGCAACACATCCTCAGGGTGGTTATAGAGTATTTAAATCGGCATACTAGAAAAACAAGAAACTGAAGTAACTTAAAGTACAACAAAAGTGAACCCACAGCAATTATGTTTTGCTGAACGATCTACAAGGATCGTAAATATAACATCTTTGATGAACATTATGGATGCCTGGAAAATTTATATCTAAACTACATGGGTTACGTCTTTTCACGCTGAATATCTTAAATGATATTGTGTCAACACAAAAACAAGAAGACAAAAATAGTTTTTAATGATTTATATAAGGTTGTGCGAAATTTTTTTTAATGGCTGGTGAAAAAGAAATATCGATACAAATCAAAGTACATGTATATGTTTCATGTTTGCTCCGACATCGGCCACATATTATAATAGATATTATCATTGAGTAAAGCTAGATTAAATTGAAATCGAAATAATTTGAAAATTTACATGCTACCTTCTTCAAATTTTTGAAGACCGAAATGAACGCTAGGTACCACGCTTCTCAGTCTCGTATATAGGTGCTAAAAATAACTTATGAATTTTGAGCCAACCAACGGGTCCGTTACAAAATCTGTTTTGGATAGTATCGACTTTAATCGTTAGCGTTTGAACTGTATATTGTCCATCTTTCATTCTAGAAAAAGCCTTTAATCATAATTACACTAAATCTTTAGAAAGAAAAATATTGACTGAAAAGCAAACAGTATGGAAAGCCTTGAATGTTTTATAATTACAAAACTGAACGTTGGAATGTCCAAATAGCAATATATTGAGTCAACTTTTCTTTATACAATGTGCACTCATGAAAATATTATGGGGCAGCTCCTTACATGAATTCAACTGAACAATATATAATGTCAATGTGTCCTTATATGATGTCAATCTATCATTTTACGATTTGCATTTTTGTATATATTATGTGGAACAATTCTTATATATGGTCAAAATCACAAAATCTGTCCTTATGTGATATAAGTATGTCATTATAAGATGTGAAGTTATGAATATATTATATGAAATGATTCTGATATAAAGTCAACAATATATGATGTCAATGTCTCTATATGTTATGTCAATATATCAATATACGATGTGCATTTTCAGTATATTACAATGTATTATGTGAAACAATCCTTATATACAGTCATTATACCAGTATATTATGCAGAATCATCCTTATATAGAGTCAACTTTAAAATATTTGATGTCAATGTGTCATTATATGATGTCAATCTTCGTGATACGATGTGCATTAGTGAATTTATGATGTGGAGCCATCTTTATATAGAGTCATAACAACAGTCTATTATGTGAGTCTGTCATTATATGATGTCAGTCTTTCAAATATGATATGCATTTACGAATATATTATGTGGAACCGTCCTTATATAGAGTCAAAATAACACTATATTATGTGGAACCTATATAGAGTCAACTTAACAATATATGATGTAAATGTGTCCTTATTATACGATGTGCATTTATTAATATATTATGTAAATCCTTATATGGAGTCAGAATAAGAAATATATAATGTAAATATGTCGTTAAAAATTGCAAATCATATAAAGATAGATTGACATTATAAAATGACATATTGACCGCATATATTGATATAAAACTGTTTCCAAAAATATATTCAAAAGTCCACACAGTGCAGACTATGTGCCGAATGGGGTGGTCTATATTCTGTTTCAGCAAGCAATGAAAGTGTTAAACAAACTGAAAAGTACCAGGCAAATTAGTACGTTGTTTGTGGTACAAAATAAAACGGAAACTGTTGACAAGGACAGTACTTTATTGTAAGATTTAGATATACAGATTGAGATAGACACATGACTTTAATAAACACAAATAATTTAATTAATCGCAAATGATTAAATCTGAAAAAGAAATATTACAAACAAAAGAACAAAACAAAACTAACTATATTCAAAACAATATAAAGATAATGTAATAGTTTAACAAACAACATTAACACTTAAGAAAATTAAAGGAATTTTCTCACTTATCAAATTCCGGAAACAGTAAAATTCTAATTTTTGGATGATTTTCATTCAAACCATATAAATGAACAGACTTTGAAACCATAGTTTGTGAGAATCTCTGTCAATGTTTCTCTTGCATAAAAAGATTTAGAAAAGGGCACTTTATATCATATCAAATGTTTGTTGTACATTTTTGGCCATAAATACTATGGAAATAACAGTTTGTTTTACAGAAAATGAAACACACGCAATTATGGTAGAAAAAACAACTATATACTTGAGTATTTACTGACTGTAGTAGAAAAATAATTATCTCTGAAAAACGAACATAAATTCGAATGATTCTTAATATTTAACCATATCATACACTTATTTATAATTAGCCTGTCGTGTTATGGGAGCCGTTGACATGCATGAAACACTCATTCTCATGCACAGACGAAAACCTTAATGAAGTAACACATTTCTTAAAATACATGTTTCTTGTAAACATGCACACTTTGTATATATATTTTTTTCTCAAAGAATGTTACCTAAGTGTTAAAATTTTCAACTTGATTTTCATGTATACATATCTATCTATCTATCTCTGGATACTGCCAACCCCTCTTACGAGTGTTAAAGGCAGGAATTTAGTGCACGTCGGATTGTTAGTAAAAGGTGAAGAGAAAAGCTAAAAAGAAAAGTCCAAACATTGACATGCTTGGAAGGTGAGACTGAAAATGTATTCTAGTCATGGTTAAAATGTTAATAGTGAAACAAGATGATAAGAGATAAAATAGTTTAAAAACACTGGGAGTAAGACTAGTACTGCAAACCCACCACTGCCTGTTTGAACTGACTCAGGTTGGGCAGGGGTGGCAAAATGTTACTAGGAAGTTTATTTCCCATAGTTATAATGCTATGAGGGAAGGGAAAGAGTTCTTATGGTATCGGAGGATACCTGTATTTGAACGTAGGGATAAGGGATGCATATGGGTTCTGGTTAATTCTAATGTGGGGTTTGAACATAAGTTGTGGTAGGGAATTTAAAGTTGGGGCAACCCTAGGTTAAATGGTATAATTTATTCAAAAAATTATCAGTCTACAGTCCAGTCTGCGATGGTTCAAGGGATCGCCCAGCCCAGTTCTTCCTGCAATGGCTTTGTGACACTAGAGTGGGGGAGTAAATTTCCCTTTTAAGCCATTCTTATTGACCCGTCTCTGGATCATCTCAACCCTTCTGTAATATTTGGGTTTTAGTATAAGGAGCCCCAAATAAGGACATTTTAAACCTGTGGGCGACCAGGGACTTGTATGCTAGTTTTTTACTTTCTCATTTTTTAGTGATGACTTTCTTTTAATAAAGCCAAGGGATCTGTTTGCATTGGAAAAGTTATTTCGAGATATAACTGTGTATTAAATTTAAGGTCAGCAGATAGATCTAGTCCGAGATATTTTTAGCAATTTGTAACAGACTCTAGGATTTGGCCATGGAGCATATATTTGTGTTTAATTATGGGTTTTATTTTTGGTGATATGGATGACTTGGCATTTTGAAGGTTAAACTCCTGTTCCCACTGCTTTCTCCCACAAAAACCATATTGTCTAGATCATGTTGGAGAGTTGGGGGGTCTGAGGAGGAATTGATGGTTTAGGTATACAGCAGTGTTGTCTGCAAATAATCTGACTTGGGATTTGAGGACAGAAGATGGTAACTTGTTGATATATAGAAGGAAACAGAGGGGCCCTAGGACCGAGCCTTGGGGCACTCCAGAGTAACTGGGACTTTCAGATGAGCAGTCACTTTCCACAACTACTGTCTGTCTACGGGCAATAAGGAATGACTGTATCCAGTTTAGAAATTTGAGGACAAACACCATGTTCTTGCAGGGTATCTAAGAGTTTTAAGATGGTTTTACTTTATCGAAAGCTTTTGGAGAAGTCAAGAAGTATAAGATCTGTTTGTTTGCCATTTGAAAGGTTGTTCACAAAGTAATCAGTAAGTTCAATGAGTTGTGTCTCACATGATCGTCTTTCTCTGAATCCATGCTGAAGATCAAAGAGTATGTTGTGGGTGGTAAAGTGAGAGGATAGTTGAGAGGCAACTATATGTTCGAGTGTTTTACAGAGGATGCATGTAAGGAAATTGGGCGATAGTTTGCTGGATCACTTGTATCACCTTTTTTGTAGACAGGGCATACGTTTTGCACGGGTCCAGTCATTGGGAATATTACCGGTGGTCAGGGATTTTTGGAAAAGAACTGCAACGATGTCAAGCAATCTCTTTCTCTCAGCTCCTTCAGGACAATTGGTCTAATGTTGTCAGGGCCGGCAGCTTTGTTGGCATTGAGGTTGCGAGGAGCTTTAGTACACCTGCCCTACCGATGATGATGTCATTCATTTGTGGGGTACTGACAATACTTTCTGGATCCATGAGTCTCAGTTTTTGTATACATTGATCTTTAAGTGTGAGTGGTATAATTGGTGAGAGAAACTGATTGAAATTGTTTGTTAAGAATGTTTGCTTTTTTCAGTGTTATTAATTTTGAGAGAACCTGACTTTTGATCTTTTAAAATGGAGACACACTTTGTGAATCTTGTTTAGAGTTTTTTATAAGTGAGTATAGTTTTTTTGGTACAAAACTTTACTTTGTGTATTAGTTTTCATCATCATCATCTGCAAGGTTCAGGATGTTTTCTAAGTAAGATTCATATGATTGTTTAATTCTAGCTTTTATTTGCGATTTCAAATTTTTAAATTTTAGCCATTGATCATGATCAGATTTATTTTTATTTGTTTTTTGGTTTTTTTATATTTTTATAGAGCTGATCTCTTTTATATGAATTAATTTTTTAATGGATTTTGTTATCCAGGGCAAAGATGGTTTAGCCTGTAATTCTTTTAGTGGGTATGAATTTTGATATGCCATCTCAAGTGTGTGTTTGAACTGCGACCAAAGTTCTTCAACAGACAAAGATTCAGCTTTTTGAAGTATTTCAGATGTTGAGGTTTTAATGAAGGTTTTCAACTCAGTCCATTTTGCCTTTTTATACAAGGTGCAAGTACGAGGTTTTTGTTTGAGGAGGGTAGGCCTAGAAGATATTTCTGTGGATATGATGTCATGATCTGATATGCCAGGGTATGACCTTGACATTGTTAACAAGAGTGTGGTTTGAAATGAGCAAATAGATCAAGAAATATTGTCATTTCGTGTACTTTCATTGACCATTTTGTACGAGGTTATGATCATCAATGATGTTCAGGAATTTATCATACACAGGACTTGTGTTTAAGCCCTTCTTTAAGATATGGTGTATGTTCAGAGTCCCAATTTAATTTTTGGGAGGTTAAAATCGCCAAGGATTTAACTTTGTACCTTTTAAGTTACGCACAAGTTCAAGGGATTTTTCAATTCTAAGATACTATTCATATCAAGTTCGTGTGGTTTGTAATAAGATGCCAGAAAGAAGTGACTTACTACCTTTGATTTCTATTTTCATCCATATTATTTCACAATCGGTGTTCAGTTTTGGTTGTTCACTTGGTAGGAGGTTGTTTTTAAGCAAGGATAAACACTCCACCGCCTTACCTTTGAGTCTGTCACGGCGAAAAACTGTGTAGCCGAGTTAGGTGGGAAAATTTCACTGTATAGTGTTCTTTATTTAGCCATGACTCTGTGGCTGTAACAATATCTGGGTTTTGATCTATTAATAAATTTTGAAATTCATGTTTTTTTGTTGACTATTGACTGGCAGTTTATGCATATAATTTTTCAGTTTTGGATACATAATCAATTTGTTTTTGTTTTGGATTTTTGGGATTTATAGAGCTTGGTGTATCTGTATTTTCATCTACTAGAGGTGAGAAAGCTGTTTATGTGATGAGATTGAGGGATGCTTGAAAATGATTCGAGAGATTTTGATTCATCACATATTGTACATGTCCATGCAAAGGATGTATTGCTATTGGTTAGATCTTGGTACCATGTGCTGTTCAACCCTTGACATTGTATGTGGAACCACATACAGCAATTATCACATTCAACAGCAATGGTCAGAATTTTTGACCTCAGCCCCACAGCTTCCACAAGGATAATCCGGGGCAGGGTTCCGTTCAACATCGCATGAAATAGACAGCAGTAGTATGACTAGATGTGATAAGGTCTTACTTCTATGAATTTTGGTGGGAATTTGGGGGTACGTCTAAACCTAAGTTTTTCAGGTTGCCTACAATAATTCCACACGAGGGAGATTTTTGACGGGCGACATTGCGTTTGGCAGGATGGAGGGCCTAGGATGTAGGGTAATGTTGTTCTGATGAAATTATCTGGTACATTCACCATATAAAGTAATGTCGAGAGAAAAAGAAGGGATATAAAATACTACAAACAATATTGTTTACCTTTTTCTCCCCCACGGAAGTTGGACAATAAAGGTCAAGGTTTGGTCTGGCGGGAAAATTTTTTGACAGAATAGATACCTGTGACTATACTTTGGGTTGTTAATTTAACAATGGATGAATGAATTTCATTAGATTTCTTCATTCAACGTTCTGAACAGCAGCAGAAATGCAGTAACAGTCCGAAACACATAGTGTTTACAGAGTTTTTTATGAGAGCTACGGAAATCAGCTGTTAGCAATCCGACGCATGCGCACTATGTTCATATAAAAATGTTTAATAATAGAAACTACAGGGAATCATTTAATGGCATTCCCTAAATATTAAAAATAATATATACATAAATTAATAATAATATTAAAAATTAATAAAATAAAACAAAACATTGATATTTGAAACAACAGCAATGAACGAAACAGTTACGTTAAAAAGTTTGATTTTAAAACGTACGAACCACTACGTAATAAGTGGGATAATTAAGTTTCAATTACATGTTTTCATTTCGTCTGATGACCTTGTAAACTATGATATAAATGAGGCGTCCTGCTTGAAAGATATCATTTTGTAGGTCTTCATTCTTGGCCGCTGGTCTTGTGTCTACTTTAATGAGGATATCTCCTAATACCTGAAAATAATACTTTAGTGTATATCAATATCAGGGATGGGTAAAATTACAATTATAATTTGATTAATTACAATTAAGTATGAAAAATCATATAATAAAAAATATTTGTTAATTGAGCCAAAACTCAATTACTTTAATTGTAATTAATTAATTACTTTGTGAAATTCTTCATTTTATTGTCAATTAATTTCAATTAAATTCAATTAATCTGAATTCTGTGCACATTAACCATTGATCTGATTTAGGTAAACTGCATACTTTTTCACCTGTATTGTCAGATATAGATAATATTCCAAGAAGTGATAATTGATAATCAGCTGTCAATGATTTTAATACAGGTAGCTTTTTATGGGTATTGTCATGATTGATATAGCCTAAGGTATATACTGGCAAGTGTTAGTTGGTGACTATTGTTAAGATTAAAACTTGCCTGAAGTAAAACGTATCCATCAAGGGCTCACAAAAATATTCACTCATCTTGCAATTTTTCTACTAAATAGTTTCAACACCATATTGTTACAGTCATTTAAGCAGGCAGGATGAATTCTCCTGCCAACAATGTCCAAGCTTGCAATTCAATATATGGCTCAACCAGCCTCATCTGCACCGCGGATAGACTGTTTTCTATCGCAAGCAAAGTTTTACGTTCTGATCGATGTAATATGAGCGACAAAAACTTTGAAGCTCTCATGTTTGTTAAATGTAACAAGAGCCATGTCAACATGGCCATCCCCCGCCGATTGTGTTTGCTCATTGGAAGAATGTATATGTAGAGCAGAATAATTAAATTTTACTAGGTCTTTTGGCAATGAAAACAGATGGCTGAAGTAATTACAGATTTGAAACCTATGAGAATACTGATGGCATAAAATAACAAAGGGCAATAACTGAAAAATAATGCAGGTTAGGTTATCATTCTTGTGTGATGCACCCCTCCTCATTAAAATCTATCCACCTATGATGTTTCAAGTTGATACCTCAAATATTTTTTGAGATAAGCTCCGGACAAAATAGTATGAAAAATAACAAAGGACAATAACTCAAAAATTATATAGCGAAGAGTTATCATTCTTGCGCACAGCATTCCTCCTTAATAAGATCTATCCACCTATGACATTTCATGTTGACATCTCAAACACTTTTTGAGTTATGCTCCACTCAGGTGAAAAATTAAGTATGAAACATAACAAAGGGCAATAACTCAAAAATTATGAAAGGTAGAGTTATCAATCTTGTGCACTGCACACCTCCTGAGGTAGATCTATTCACCTATGACGTTTCATGTTGATATCTCAAAGGCATTTTGAGCTATGCTCTGGACAAAAAATTAATTTTGAAAAATGACAAAGGGCAATAACTCAAAAAATTTTGAGATATGCTTAGGACAAAAATGTCGGACGGAAGGACGGACGGAAGGACAGACGGACGGACGGAGACTATTACTATATCCCCGCCGCCTTTTCGGCGGGGGATAACAAGGCATTGTGAACAGAAAACAGACTGATGAGTTTGATTTATTGTTTTAAAAGTGAAAATAATTTTTTTCTGTATCTGGTGTGTTTTGTAACTATATTATTTCATATTAAAGCAGTTAAACTAGAAAATAATTAATTGTAATTAATTTTTTTTTCAAATTTAATTGTAATTAATTAATTACAATGCGAAAATTCATGTAATTGTAATGTAATTGGGAAGTTTCAATTTCCATTTTAATTGTAATTAATTAATTACTTTTAAAAATAATGGTACCCATCCCTGATCAATACTCTATAAAATGTGCACTATTTATACTAACAAAGCATAAGAAAAACTCTAATCATAAGCCATTTGTGTACGTTGGGGGAAGCTGTCAACAACGTGATTAAGTTCATATAGTTAAGATAAGATGGTTGAAAAAGTAAGAAAAAGATAGCGGCCGGGGTTTTTATACGTTCTACAGAGTTGGCAGCCATTCGTTTTTAACATCGTCAGTTGTTGTAAGTTAAACTATTTGGGCATTAGTCATGCTTACTAATCACATCCAAGACTGCACGAAATCATGTGGGCACAAGATTGAAACAATTATTCAAATATTAAGTCTAAACATCGAATTGAAAGTGAGGAGGTAATATTTTTGAGGTTAGGGTATTTCTGATAAGAATTTTCTAATGAAGGAATTGTCTACCAGGAGCTATTATAAACAGAATTTTGTAACAAGTTTGTCGCAAGTCCCACTCGGGAAGTTTTATATGAAGCATAAAATTGTGCTATTTCTAAAGATTGAGGTATGGATCACAGGACATTCAGTCCAAAATTATGATCAATGCTAGATCTGCAAATGTAACAATAAATTTGTTAAAAAAATAAAATGAAACACCAAATTTAAAAATATATCATGTTAAGCTTTGACCTCTAAGTGTGACCTTGACCTTGGAGGTAGGGGAGCAGGTGTTGTAAATGACATAACGTCTTATTATTGAGACTATTTGTGCCAAGTATTTTCAAAATCCCTTGATTTATGAAGAAGTTATAGATTGGACACAAAATATACCCTATAACAGACTAAGTATATCTTTGACCTTGATCTTGGAGGTAGGGACACAAATGCATGACTTATTATCTAATCAATGTGACTATCTGTGCCACGTATTTTCAAAATCCTTTAATCTATGAAGAAGTAATGGACGGGACACAAAATATACCAAATAACAGACTCTGTTAGCCTTTGACATCTAAGTGTGACTTTGACCTTGGAGGTAAGGGTGCAGGTGTTGTACTTGACAGATCGTCTAATTATTGTGCCTATTTGTGCCAAGTTATTTCAAACTCCCTTTAACTATGAAGAAGTTCTAGATCCGACACAAAATATACCCTATAACAGACTATGTTAATTTTTTACCTCTAAGTGTGACCTTGACCTTGGAGGTAGGGATGCAGGTGTTGCGCATGACACATCCTCTTATCATAGTGACTTTTTGTGCGAAGTTTTTTCAAAATCCTTTGTTCTATGAAAAAGTTATGGACCGGACACAAAATATACCCTGTAACAGACTATGTAAGTATTTGACCTCCAAGTGTGACCTTGACCTTGGAGGTAGGTGACTGGTTTTTGCGCATGACACATTATCCGATTATTGTGAACAATTATGGCAAGTATTTACAAAATCCCTTCATAGATAAGAAAGTTATGGACCGGACACGACATATACCCTCAAACAGGCAATGCTGACCTTGAATGAGCAAGTGTGACCTTGACCCTGGAGGTAGGAGTCAGGTTGTGGCGCATGACACATTGTCTTATTATAATAAACATTTGTGTCAAGTTATTTCAAATTCCTTTCATAAATGACAAGTTATGAACCGGACACGAAAGTGTGACGGACGGACGGACAGACAGACGGACGGACGGACAGACGGACGGAGCTTATTTCTATATCCCCCTTTTTTCTTTGAAAAGGCGGGGGATAACAAAGTAAGAAAAGATGGTTTACAATGTTTATACATGTAAGTATTAAAAATACAAAATACCTTCCCATTTCTGGTCCTGACACACACTGTATCCTTATCAAGGTTTCCAATGAACAGAAAAGCTCTTTGAAGCACGTCAAGAGAACGAAACAATTCGTATGTTAACTTGAGAGTGACAGAGGCCGACACCGTCATATCACTGTTTACGAGTTCCCCGACAGATATGTATTTAAGTTTGAGGGCATCGCGAACGCTGAAGTTCCGGCTGATGCTTCGATACTCCTTGATGTAATTGCCAAGTTCTGATGCATTGATGAAAATAAATGCAAACGAACATATTAACAAAGAAACAAACAAATAATCTAATTGAAATAAAAAGTACTTAACTACTATATGTATAATCATTTTTGAACATATGATGACACTCTGTCATTTAAACTTGTTATAATTGCATTAAATCAGTCTTCGATTTCTTTTTCTTTGCATTTAACTGGATATATAATTTCAAACAGTATATTTTATTTAGAGATACAAATGTATAGACAAAATCTCCCGTGCAGGTGATCAGGTCAACAGATACTATTTAAAAGTACAGTGGGGAAACTTTTTTCTTTTGCAATCTAGATAAATTCGAACTAACCTTTTGATAATTCTGAACGCGTCTGTTCCTCTGAGCTAGGATTAAAGTTCTGTAAGGAAATGCACGTTACAAATATTTAATGACTATACAAAATGTGAGCATTTTGTTTTGACAAGTTTATATTGCTTTATCATTGCTCTTATCAGCTTGAAAATATGTTGCGTTTTTGCAGATTATATTCCAAAGGCCCATTAGGTTACTGATTCGGTCAATAGGAACGCATTATATCATGTATAAGCCAATAGTAGTGTGTTAAAGACATAAAATGTTCGTCTCCATATAAGTAAATAGGAGAACTTATTATTGGGTCATTAATTTTAATTGATTATTTTAAGGTTGAACAAACATTAAAACGGTGATCAAATTGACCTATAGGCCCATAGGGCCGTGTGCTCTTTATTATTATTGTTTTTATTGTTTTGAAATAACTGCATAAAACATAAGTCTCCATAATAAACTACCATTTTGTCTAAACTCATCATTCTTAACAAAGGTTTTCTCATCAGCAAAATTAAAGTAAACGAATAAATGTTTTCAGGTTGATTTCTGTAAAGAAACACAAACATCGAGTACTTAAAAAGAAATGAAAATAAAACCAACACTACGGCAACATGTTTGAGATTTTGCATCTTCATCAAAATTTATCATATACAAAATAGCTTTTAAAGTAAAGCGCACTAATTGCAAAAAGTAATAAAGGAGGGAGAAAAAAGTTATTACCGATTTTCCTAATATGGCAGTCACTGTATACAATATTGGATTCAGGGCAGAGTTGATTGGTAAAATAAACACGGCCGACCATGCATAAACATCACCCGAGATCACGTGACCATTCAGTGCCATTTTATACCTATTTTAAGATACATAATATGTACTAAGGTAAATATTATACTAGATATTAACTCAAAGAGATGCAATTGCACGTGTTATACTTTTCTGACTTTTTACCTCAAACATGTTCAAAATTAATCATAGTGCACTATGTGTTATATCGTCTTGTATCCATTAATTTAGAACTTTTGATATACCACGTGAAGTAAATGACACTAAATGTGACATTTGTATAATACTAACTGTACTGATTGTTTGGAACACAACGATAAAAAAAGGTTTTGTAAAGTAAAAGTAAAAACAACATTTCTGAAGTTTAATGATCCTTTAAATTTGTAACCATTGTGTATTAAGAAACGATTAATTCATCAATATAGCGAAATCACAAGTTTACATACCCATAACACCAATTGGAAACCAACACAAAAAGTCCGTGGTAACGACGAGAAGAAGATTTCTTGCAACAATCAAATCCCTCCTCCTTCCAGAGTGCATTTTCTGCATACTTGAACTTGATTTCTTAACCTCCATGAAAATGGAGATCTGACCAAATGCAACCAGCGTAAACGTAATGAAATTTAAACCAACAAAAATTAATATGGAATAAATCCAGCCAGGCGGTCGATCTCTCGTCAATGGTAGAGCAATGCAAACCCCAGATCTTGAGTAAAATTGATTTTGAAAATAGCCTTCGTAAACAACTGGTATCAGAGCTATAACAAATGCAAAACCCCATGCAAAAATCGAGCATGATTGAGCCTTAAGCAAATCAAATCTCTTTTGACCGAAAGGAAATTTTATAACTAAAAGTCTGTCAAGTGTAATTAGGCAAAGAAAAAGGACACTTGCTTCAGAGGACACTGTGGAAAGGACACCAGCAAATGTGCACCATCCGCTTCCCCTCCAGTACTCGTCCTCGTATATGTACCTGTAAAAACACACACGCAAATATACCCTAAATTTAGGATGAAAATAACCAAACATTTACAACTTGAACCATATCTCGCCGGTCTGTAATGGATAATAATGAAACTATTAGATATGTATTAAGCACTTGATATATCAATATTTACTGTTATAAGAAATCGTGAAAATATACAAATATAGTAGATTTAAGTATTTATCATACATATGGTTGTTAACATCTCAATACCTTAATCCTGTAAAGAAAATATAATTCTTTCCATTTATCACAACTTAATTTGCTATATTATATTACCGCTTTCTGTAAACAGCATCTGCAATAGCGATGATGATAAGATAAATTCCCATCAGAAAATCTGCTGCAGCCAAATTCGTAACGAAAATTCCATATGCTATTTTCAGCCGCTCTCTGTCACATACAAGTCTATACAGGATAGAGAAGAAGTTACCGATCAGAGCGGAAAAACCAACCAACCAAAGCATCGTCTGCAAACCTGACAATCGCATTAAATCTTCACAGGACGAGAACTCGTCTTTCCGTGGGTAACAATCGTCTTCAAGTAGGTATGTTGGCCTGATGCAACAAAATTTGTAGGCAGAAGCCTTCAATTTTTTCAAATCACGAACACCGGCAAATATCTTTCTATTTAAATGTTTGATGTCATTGTTATTAAAGTCGATTTCCTCAACAGAAAGATCATCGAAGGCGAAATCGGCAATTTCTGCGATCTTGCTACTAGAAATATCTAGATGTTTGAGAGATAAACCAGAAAAGGTATTAGCGGATATTTTGGTAATCTTTTTGTACCTTTTAATTGTATACTCCGTATGTAAATAAGACCTTCGAACGCACCCGCTTCTATTGTGGTTATTTCAGAACAGCCATGTAAATTCAAAGATGTCAAATGTAGCAAAACGTGAAATACCTTTCTGCGAATAATTCTAAAAAGATTATAACTTAAATCAAGTGTCTTTAGATTGTAAATATTAGTGAACGCTTTTCCTGATAGTTCCCTTAAACCAGAGTATGACAAGTTCAATCTTACAAGTTGGTTCATGAATAAGTACGAATCCTCTAAGATTTCACTAACATTCTTATTATAACTGAGATCTAAATATCGTGTATGATATGGCAACATGCTAAGTTTTTCCATATCGAAATCGCTGTTGCGACAGTCTACTATCCAACCGACACAGGCACAGTTTTGTGGGCACTTGAAACCACAAAGCAGTTCGTCGTCGCCATAAGGACAATGTCTTTGTCCGTCACATATCTGATCCAAGGGTACACAAATCTTGCTCGAAGAACACTTAAATCCATTTGAACAATACTCTGTTGCAGCGACTTAAATTACAAAAATGAGTTAAAATTATTTAATATAACTTTCGCTAGGATGACTCATATATCAACTAACACTTTTTTATTTATGTTTAGTCTACAAGTAAGCGTTTAAATTACTTTTATTATTATTGGTTTATTTTATTCGAATCTCTTTTATATGCATTGCATTTAAACACACATTAAACATGGAACAATCTAGGGAGACTTGTCTTTGCAGGTAAAATATGTCAATTTAATACATATGGCAATTCTACAATAGAATTATAAGATACCTTATCTTACATATCATAAACGTATTCATGAAAACTGTATTATTTCATTGATTGTTTTAATTGTTTTCCAATCTAGACTCATTTTCCATATCGTGAAATGCGTGTAAATGTTGTTCATTTACAATTTATTGAATAAATAAAGTTTTAAGTAATATTAAACACATAAATACAAACCGACAAGATTTATCCTAAAACACAATACAGGTACATTCAAAGTAATGCATCCATTACTTAAGGTGTACTTATCTACGTGTATTATTTTTGACCTGTCTACAACGTATACCTGATTAAGCACAGAAGTGAGTCCAAGAAACATGCCCAAGTTAGAAACTTGATAGGTTTAAGTGATACTATGCTGATGTTTTTTTAATAAAAATATCAGGATTACTGTATTTCATTTGGAGTTTATTGAAATAAAAACTATTTTTTCCATGATCTCAAAGTTGTCATTATAATTAAACCAATCCAATTGTAGATTATTTGTGTAACGTTTCGTATATTACACATGTGTTGTATTTAAGTGAACTATATATCATCAATCAATCACCAAAGAGTAGCTTCTAGAGTTTTGTTTTGTCTAGGACTCTTACTCAAAAAGCTGTACAGTCACTTTTAGTTTGCTATGTAAATTGCTTATGTTTAGATGACACGAACTTCTTTATTGTAACATAATATGTACTTGCTGTTAGAGTTTGTTCAGTTCTTCAAATATTGGAGGAAATATTAGTATCTATCATGATTTGATTAAATTGTTATTATAATAGAATTTTCATTATAATCATAAAGAGTCATATAAAAAACCTACCTTTGCATAATTCTGGAAAGAAGGAGGCTCCAATAAATCTTATCACGTTCCACCTCGGAACAGCAATATCAGCTACATTGTTGAATTTGCTCTTGAATTCTGTCAGACTATTTGATGTTTTTAGGATACGGTATTTATGAATATTTGACGAATTGGTCCCCTCATTCAATATAAATAATGATTTTGCAATTCCTTCAGCATCACTATCGGTTTCGAAGAATATAAATCCTTGTTTATTTGTATCGGAATATTTAATTGAACTCAACAAAACATCAGCCATGATTTTATACTGGCAAACTTCGTCATTGTCAACGTTTGTAAATGTTTGAATTAGTTTGTCGTTTATCTTCAACAGTTTTGTTTCTATACCAAAGCCAATTAATGGGGTAGACGACGTGTAGCTTAGCAACCTGACAATGTTGACACCGTTACAAAGTTGTTTAGCAAATCCATGAATAACTTCAGTGTTATCAGTGAGAAAGCTTTCACTTAAAAGAATGATAACTTCATTTTCCTCCTTCAAACAACCTAAAACACACCCATTTCATTTTAAAACTTTTTTCAAATCATACCTAGAATCCGATAATAAACCGCGATATGTTTTACATTTTGGTAACAGATTATTTTGATTAGATTATTTTCGATAATGGCTTCAAGGGCGGCACATTTTCAAGTTGACAGTGTAATGAAATTTTACTGGCTCGTTTCATAAATGTGTATAAAATCTGTATTCGTTAGCTAGCGTGTTAGTTTTCGAGGGTATGCAGTTATGCCATGATAAGAAATGAAATAAAGAATAAATACAATTACTCTTAGAAGATCAAAATGCTTATTCAATATCTAACATTATTCTATACAATGCGGGAATATATCTGGCCAATTACATAGCTCGCAAATCACAAATTTGTCAAATTGATTAAACTTTTCAGACGCTTGCAAAGATCCCCAAGGGTCCGTTCTCACAGTGTTTGAACGGGCTGATGGACCCTCATTATGTAATACATACATACATACATACATACATACATACATACACACAAGGGGTTATCCAAAAATTCGTAGACTTTCTCAATATCTCTTGAACGTGAATATGTATTCTTATTTATGAAATTTTAGAATATTATCAAAACAGTTAACTGCGTCAATAAATAATGATTTTATAGCACACACACGGCACCTGGCGCACTGTACATAGAAAAGTGCAGTCAGCCATCGTATATTTTTCGCTAAAAACTAATAATTAACATAGAAAATCCGCTAAACATTGTATGTTTCTTCCATGATGTATTTTAAGGTAGACCATGGGTAATGCATTACCTCCACTTTGAAGAATATTTAAATAGGCTAAAATTGCTTGCAAACTACACTGAAATTGAGGGGCGTGGGTTAAAACCCCAGAAGGGGCAATTTTTTTCTCTTTCTTTTTTTCTTTTGAACATTATTTATGTATCTCTCTGATCCTTTATGGAAGAAAAAAGTGGTTTGATTTAAATTATGTAACAATTGTAGACCTTATTTATTTGCTAAATAATGCCAAAATTTATAGCAAATATGATAACAGATATTTTCAAAGTTTAATAAAATGAAAACTACACGATAAAAGTATTTTATATTTCGCATGATCAACCAATATACCTTTCAAATTTTTTTAAAAAACTTTGAAAACAGCCCCTCATTATAAATTTTAGGAATATTTTGAATAAGCCATTTTAGATACGGAAATGGTAAAATAAGTGTTTAAAGTGGGCGGCCATGGTAACATTTTTATACATATTAAGAACATTTTGTTTAGAAACAAACATTTTGCTTGTGTAATTTGTTACCTGAATGTTATTATTTGTTTGGGCAATAGAAAAACATTTTTATAATGATGATAGTACAGATTATTTAGAGTTTCCTCATTTCTGAAAATAAGCCCTTCTAATGGCAAAGTCGTAGTTCAGAAATACATCCATAACTCATAAACCACACGATAATTTTATTTAAATGTTGCATACAGGTGACCTTGAAGACATATAACTGTTCTATGTTGTCAATTTTACAGTACCTTATGGTTCCCATTACCAATGGTCTACCTTAAGTATTTCTTTAAGTTTTAGACGCCATTCCTATAAAGTTTTGTTGATATCGCTAGAAACGCCAGACGCCGATATTGTTTATCACGGGAAAATGACGGACACACAGAAATTAAAATAATCACGCGATCAGAAAGTTTTGTTGTAATTTGGGAATGGCACAAACAAAAACATTTGGAAAAAAATTCAGCATTTGAATAGAATTTTTTTTCAAGATTATTAGTGTTTATGTGGCAGATTTAGTGATGGACATTTCTATGAGATGCACTAATGGTCATTGATTGCGTTACGTTGAAGCATATGTTGAAAGTTATTATGACGTTGAGGTCAATAACATTTTGGAATGCGCCGCTGTCGCCGACATGTGTTTATGTAAAATTAAATATTGTTGTAATTTAAAACGCTGCTTACATGAATTGTTCTGTGTTTATTTGCTTATGATTCTTCTAAGCAGTGTAAGAATTTCAAGTTAATGTCTAAGATTCATTTTACACAACAAAGAAAGTCCACGAGTTTTTTAATAACCCCTCGTACATACATACAAAGAACCCCAGATGATACATATGAGCCGCTCCATGAAAAACCAACATAACGGGTTTGCGACCAGCATGAATCCAGACCAGCCTGCGAATCCGTGCAGTCTGATCTGGATCCATGATGTTCGTTTACAAACCCTATTACAAGTAGAGAAAGTTATAGCGAACAGCATGGATCCTGATCAGACTGCGCGGATACGCAGGCTGGTCTGGATCCATGCTGGTCGCAAACCCATTATGATGGTTTTGTCATGGTGTTGCTCATATATGGATTTTAACCAAAACGGAAAACGTCAAAAGTCAAGCAATATCAGCCGTCTTATATAAGATAAAATTAATATATATTCAAAATACACCATAAATAGCTTACCACAATCTTCTTCATCCTGTTTTCCAGGACATTGAAATTGCCCATCGCATAGAAACCGTCGTGGTATACAATAACTTCCAGGACATTTAATGGTGCCATTTGGACATTCAAACATTTCTTCGAAAATGAAACGTAATAAATTTATCTAACATTTTAAGTGTAGTATTATAAAAACAAAATTAATATTACGATAATATATCGTCATGATCTTATTTAATGGATATAAAGATACTACTTTTTCTCACATGTACAATATTTCTGTTGTATAAACATGTACTACTCATAATAACAAGTATTCTTCTTTATGCTGATTTATGTGTTATTCGAATTTTAAACAGTCCAACTCATATTCTCAATTTGTGTATCAGAATAAAGATATTCCTTCAGCATATTTACATTGATAAAAGCAAAACAATACGAATGTTTACAAACTACATTTAAAAATGTTCAATGCTGTCCTGCCACAATACAACATAATATGAATGTTGAAATATCGCGTTTAAATGTTACGAATAATAATAATAATGGTTCCCTCTGGGTCAAAATTAGTTTGCGCCACCAAATTCGCCAATCAGAAAAAGTTGGAGCCAATTGCTCGAAAGTTGGAGCCAATAATTCTGCAAGGGAGACATGCCTATCTTTGTTAAGATATGCTAGCAGTTATATATCATTATGATTACAAACACATATTTATAATATTTCATTTTATTACAGCTGCACATGTTTATTATCTAAAATATAGACATAGTATTATGTGGTTTTCAAATTCCATTTAAATAAATACACATAACAACATAAATGTAATCAAAAACATCATGTTAAGTTAGTCATGGGAGGTCCTGTTTTCCAGTGGTTTGCCTATAGCAGTTCTTCTCACTGGCTGGACTGAGCCAAGATCTTTACCAGCTTCTACCCAACAATCTGGTCATCTACAGATACAAAATTAAAAAAAAAACAACATTACTATAAATTGACTTCATCTAAAAATAAAAAAAAGTAAAATAGATACTTAGTATTTTTAACAATGAAGAATATTGTTTATTTTAATAGGGTTTGCATGTGAATACTGAATAGACACTTAAGCACTTTACATTCAGATATGAAAATATTAAAATTGCAGTAAACAGTGGCTTTAGATCAATCATTAGTGAAATTATTCTTTTAATTGTCATTAATTTAATATTTCAAACTGTAATTATTTTTAATGAGTTGACGAGTCAACTTACCTAAAGTTCAATGTTTGTCAACATCACGGACGATCTTTCACTTAGAACTCTGTACGCTACTAACACCTGTTGACCACACATGTAATTATCAGTGCTCCAAGTCAGAGAATGAAAGACGTAAATTGTTCCAATTAACACATTGACACTTTCATCTTCACATGTTCCCGAAGTGTCACACAATTGATGACATAATTGATTATACAGTTTGATAAACAAACTAATAGCGCATGACCTTTCACATTTGGGCCGCTTATGTAATTTGACGCGGCCGCTTATTATATTTAAGTGTACTAGTTGTCGGATGTTTTTATCTTACGTTGGCGCAAGTTAAATTCGCCAATTAAAGATTTTATGCGCCATAATTAATATTTTGTCGCATTTGGCGCCATTGGCGAGCGACAGTGGGAACCAATAATTTTGACGTAACACATTAAAATGAAATAGATATTGGTTGACCACAGTAAAATGATATAAATATTGGCATATCACAGTAATATGATATAAATATTGGAATATCACAGTAAAATGATATAAATATTGGAATTTCACAGTGAAATGATATAAATAGTGGCATATCACAGTAAATTGATATAAATATTGGCATATCACAGTAAAATGATATAAATATTGGTAGACCACAGTAAAATGATATAAATATTTGCATACCACAATTTTTTAGATGGCTTGCGGATCTACACCCGAGTATAACTCCATCTGAGTCAGTGTCGTACACACATTTAAGGTAATTAGGAATCACTTTGACATCTGTCTCACAGACAAGAACATCTTCCTTAGCCTCAAAATCTGTAATAAATATATGAGAATTTAAATGTTAAATTTTTTTTTACAAAACACTTAAAGATAAACGCTGAAATTAGTCTAGCCCTTTATGCTTAATGACATTACAAGACTATATATACATTTTAACGCATTCTTTAGAGTTCTAAATAAATTCGATTTTATGCCTGTGTTTAGGTTGTACATGTTGTACAACTCATACTGTTTTGTTTTGCCTACAAAAATATTGTTGCAATTAAAAGTTGTATGAAACGTCTGAAAGAGGAAGTGAAAGCAAAAATAAAAAATCAGAAAAAAGTGCTAAACTGTACGGAATGAAATAACATCTTGAACTGATCTAAAATATTGCATACCATACGAACACTTGGTCGGCCATGGTAAAAGCTCGTAATGTTTCGTGTACGAGTCAATGTATTTTCCGTATTGAGAGAGATGCATCGTGAATACAGGTTTACTAAAGTACGAAATCTGGTCGTAATAACTTCTCACCCAGTGTCTTCTGCAGTAAACAATATGATTATCATAATTCTATTATAAAATTGAACATTTGCACCACGATACATGACCATTATGGCGGCATTATAAACAGATGGACGTACTTTTTAAAGTTAAAGGCTTTAGCTAATTAGATTTACTAATATTTGATTTTTCATCTTGTTTTTATTCTAAAATTTGTAATTTATATTGGTTCATTTGCTCTAATCTTATTTGCTCTAATCTAACTTACTTAAATAACAAACATTCACTAACCACCATTCCCCAAAAACCAAACTACAGTTCAACTATTTTAAAAACTAAAGTGAGATTAGGATGGCAACCTGTGGATAGATAGCACATCAAAAATCAAAATTGTACATTAACTTTTAATGAATAAATGAACTTGTAAAAATCAAATACATATTTTGAAGTTTAAATACATGTTAAAAGTAATCATTGTTGCTTTGATAGTATTTTTTCTTTAATATTAATTTCTGGGAAGGGCTTAATCTAATGTTGTAAGAACTTGTTGCCCAACCCATTTGCATTTTGATATATACCCATCATTTGTATAAAATGTTTGTAACATGTATTTAATACAATAAACAATGTTTAAACTAACCAATGAAATAGTATTTTACAACGTTTTTTCGCATTTTGTGCTTGTTTAAAAACAAGAAAAACGGTATCATATGATTCTTGATATTTCCTTTTTTATATTGTTACATTATCATACATTTTTGTTGGCTGAAACAATAACAAGGGGGGTCCATGTTATATGAGAAAAATCTAGATTTTTTTAAACAGACACATTTAAGAGTAACGAAAAGATGAAATATGTCAGTTTAGGTTTTTGTCTGACTATATCAGCTTTTATATTAACTTTTTGTCAAAACACTCGATTTCAATGGAATGGAAATATACAAATTACTTATCACATATCACCATTAAACATAACAAAGGATTTGACTGATTGGTTTGTTAAAGATATACTATGCTCATCTTTGGCTTATATACTTTTATTGCAGAAATTTATTGAAATCTAGGAAATTCAAATTTAAAATGTATAATTTGAAGAGGAGAATGCATAAAGTATGTTTGGTAAGTTTTATTCCCTATTATTGGTCAAATTTATATGGCCTTATCTATAAAGAAATGTCAGTTTTTTATGACACTGGTATTCATACTAAGCTAAGGTTAAGCATGTAGAATTTAAAACGTATTTATTTCTTTTTTATGTGTCCTCAAAGGATGTTAATTAAACATTTCCCAAGGGGCTGCAAAGCAATTATACGTGCATTCAATTATCGAATTAAGCATAGTATATCTTTACAAATTATTCAGTTTAATTTACTTTATTATTCATTCTTATCTATACAACTGAAACTAAATTAGACATAAAACGAACTTACGAACAACCCGCTAGACAAAAATACGCATATTCGTCAGTAAGACACTGGCCAATTTCTTCTGTGTAAAAGTCTTCATCGAACTCAATGATGGACAAATGCACCGGGCTACATTCCTGAATTGCCTGGTGAAAAGATATAATATTAGTTATAAAGATTCTTGACAGGTTATATGGCCCCATATAAACAGTTTTTTGAGCTACAAGGCAAGGGTTATATTACAAACGACCGTTTACATACGGTCATACAACTTGTGAGGAATATTTATAACGATTTATAATACAAGAAACTTCCTTTTTTGAGAAAAAAGTAAAATGTCTTCATAAATTGACAGCAGCTGTGAATTTAAAACTTTTATATGCCATACTTATCCAATAAAAATCGACGTAACAAACGTGTATTATTGTAATTCTAATAATTCATAGGAGACGCTCTGCAGGTATGACCCGTTTTTTTTTGGTCGAAACTTGTATAACGAGAGTTTCTTACACACACTGCTAAAGCATGTCGCATCATATATTAAATAGACATGCCAAACTGTCACACTGAACAAAAGCTTCATCATTTTAGAGAAAATTAAAAATAAACAACAACAACAACATAACGACTGAAAAACGATCAATGCAGAAGTAAACAGACGGCACGGATCATACGAGACATGTAGCGCTTTCATTTTTGATGTTTGTTCACCACTTTCTATGCATTCGTATTTCATATAATCTTATATAATTTTACCTGACGGCGCCACAATCAAGATTTTCAAATTGAATTCTAGGATGGAAGTATCCGTAAGATCTTCTAAAGCAAAATCAAAGGGTGACAATAAAAGACTTGGTTCAACAATGTCTGTTGACGAGATACAATCAAAGTTTCATAATCTCTCATGAGCCCCGCTGCACCTGATTAAGCAGTCTTTAATCTTCAGCACAAATATACTAGATATAAATGTTTCAAAATTGTAAGTATTTCCTAGACTGAAGAGGTAAACAAAATAATGTCAATTAAAGTATTTTCTTCTTAGATGCCTTCATTTATTTTTATATATCTTTTATGATATTCTTTAACTTGTATAATATCTACCTGCATGATACATGAGTCTCGATTTATATTTAAGATTTCTTCTGTTTCTAAGGTCTTCTGTTTCGTGTCCTACTCTATAATATGTATATCCTCTATTGGAATACTGAGGGAGCCGGGGGTGAGGTGATGTCCAGTATATATCTCTATTTATGAAGTAGAGATGCATTTTACCCTTAGATAACACTGTATCAAAGTCGCATTTAACTTCAATGTTATCTGAAATATATAGTTTTATATATGATACTATCTAGATTACAATCATATACATACCACAATCGTGAAAACAGTTTTTCACATTTGTAATAGGGACATATTTCAACCTATATTAATAAATATTGTTGATTTTTCAGTTGACAAGTTCTAACTACAATATCAAGTATTACCATGCATTTCAATTTTTACACCGTTTCTTATTTTCACTCATAACCATAAATGAAACATTAAACAGACTGTTAATGCAATCGTTGCAGATGCAAATGATCAAATGAAGCATTGTTTTATAACGAATCATGAAATTCAAAAACAGACTACAAACAATGTTTTGTAAATAAATGTCAATAAAGATCCATAAGGGAAAGCAAATTTCACTGAGCGCAACCCTTGATAATATCAGACCTCGCAGGAGCACCGGGAAGTCAAACATTTGAGCACAATGCATCTGACCACGCAGGATCACCGAAAAGTCACCCATTAGGATACAATGCGAAAGTAATATATTTGTATGTATTGATAAGTGTTAACATACGTATCAGATAGGTTCCTGTCTGTCGGTAACCTGCATTCCAAACATCTTGACATGATGTAAAACCTTTGTTGTAGCAATTGGATTCATCACTGCCATCGTCACAGTCGGTATAGGTGTCACATATCAAACGGTTATCTACGCATTTCACAACGTCGCAATGAAATGCTTTGGCGATATTACATGATTCTGATAATAAGAATTCGTGTTCATTGAAATCTTTAGCGTTGAAACAATATAAGTTTAAGAAAGAAATGATTTATAAATCGTTTTGTTAAATTCAAACAAATTGTGATATCATAAGTACAAATCAAATATTCGAAAAGGATCAACGTGATAGCGCAAGAATATAAAACAGGACGAAGTAAATATTAAAACACAAACTATATATTCAAGTTGGCCTTACCGCAATGCATGATAATATAAGACATTAAATACAGCCTGATTGAAATCATGAAGATATAAAATATTGAAATTGAATTTATGAGTTGCGTGAGGATATTAACTTTTTAATTTGCCAACTTGAAATAAATATATATACGAATAAAATTGGCTTGGCAAATACATGAGGATAGAAACAAAAAAAATATTGGTCTTAGTGAATGCATAAGAATATAATTATAAAATATGTATACATAAGAATATTTAAATTTGAAAATGGATTTGCTAAATACGTGAGAATAAGCAATTCTGAAAATTGGTCAAATTGATTAAATAAATAAATGAATAAATTATTAAAATTTGCTTAACTGAAAAAAATCATATTTTGTATCATTCCGTTAAGTTAAATTCTTTGTTCAAGAAATACTAAATGAAACAGAAATGTTAACAATTAATGATAACAGTAATACATCTTGAAAAGATGTAAAAATATAAAAATGTAATATAATATAAAGTCCATAAAAAGTCCCTTTCCAAATATTATATATTCGAACAACATTAAGATAATACCGCAGTTGTTTTCGTCACTATTATCAAACAATGTGAGAATCCGTCATAAGAATATTAAAAATTGAAAATGGATTTGCTTAAAACGTTAGGATAAGCAATTATGAAAATTGGTCAAATTGAATAAATGAATGAATAAATTATTAAAATTTGCTTAACTGAAAAAAAATCATATTTTGTTACATTCCGTAAAAGTCTTTGTTCAGGAAATACTAAATGAAACAGAAATGTTAACAATTAATGATACCAGTAATACATCTTGAAAAGATGTTAAAATATAAAAATGTAATATAATATAAAATCCATAAAAAGTCCTTTTACAAATATTATATATTCGAACAACATTAAGATTTAAGATAATACCGCAGTTGTTTTCGTCACTATTATCAATACAATGTGAGAATCCGTCACATTTCTTGTCATTTTTAATACATTCACCATTGTCACATTCATATTCATTGGACTGACATTCTCCAAAATCTGTAATTTATGAGAAGGTATTTTTAAAATATCAATGACAGCAAATACAAAATGCTGATGTTTCAATATACGCATAAAATGTTGAATGTAGAAAGGCCCTGATTCATCGTTTGTCATTTCCAAATCTCGGTCCAAAGAATCTTCAGGATATAATACGCTTTAGCAAATAAAATATAATTTTAAATTAAACTGAAGAGAAAAGAAGATGTTTTACTACATAGTAAATGCAGCATTGTTTTAAAAAGAATCGTGAATTTCAAATGCATGATTACAAATTAAATTCACTTGATGAAGTTAAAAAATTAATTTGTGAAGAAACTTTACTGAAATGTGACCATTTTTATGTAAAATTGTTTATGTTGTCTGAGAAAGCTAACCAGCTTTACGGAGTGTAGGTGAATCTACTTAAGTGCAACTGTAATAACCCAAAGTGGCGCAAAAATCTTCTTTTAGCAATGGAATAAGGCAATTTTCAATACCGGCGTGACTTAAATCCAAAAAAAGCCAAATTCATTAGTATTTCAATCAAGGTAAAGACGACAATCTTTTACAATAATTTTGATAATATACTTTACCACAATATTCATCTGTAGAGTCCACACAATCTATGATATGATTGCAAACTTGACTGGCATGTATGCAATCACCATCTGAACATTGAAATTCATCTTCTTCACATTGTCCTGAAGTACATTATTATAATAAATGTATTCTGACACATTTTGATTTTATTAACGAATTTGCAAGGCGTAAAAGGTTTAAAGTTTTAAAATGCTCATTTATGATATCCTTATCAGACAAATATATAGTAATTAACTAAAAATTCAAATATGAGGTTAATTCCGTTTTTGTAAGAAAATTGTTGAAAGCGATTTTTTCAAAAGTGGAGACTTAACTTGAGCAACGGAAAATATTAGAGTAAATGTTTTAGAATTGGATTGATTTGCAATATCTATTTTCTTAGTATTTTCACAACATATTTTCAAACACATCTATTTTATTTTACCATTTTTCGAACAGCCTATCTCATCGGATGCATCAGCGCAATCTTTAACTTTGTCACATTTTGATATAATGGATACCCATTCCTGGCTTCCACATTGAAAGAATGAGTTGATTTCAAGATGCCCCGTTAAGGAAAAAAATACGCTTCCTTTCCGGTGTAATGGGTGCTCTGGAATATTTTGATAAGGTTACACAAGTCAAGTTTTGATAGTCGTTAGAATTTTTTTCTGATCTTAAGATAATAGCTCATTCACTAAGATGTACTATCTTAACAACATAAATGTTTTAGGATACTCAAGTTTAGCATGTATAGATTAATTATTTCACTTACTACATGTTTTACAAGTAATAAGTTATTTTAGCACTTCCATAACATTCATTGTCATGATATTGTTATATCAGTTGATTCAAAAATAGAGGAAGCTGATGAAAAACGCGTTTACATATAATTAAAGTCGATAACTTATTCAGGCGGATGGCGAATTTCCAAAAAGACTGTTCATCCTTCACCCTTAACCATAAGTAATTTGTTGTCTTTAACAGACGGAACATAAAACACCATTATACAGGACAGTGATACGAAGACCATACTTATTATCAATTAAATAACGGAGATAAGACACTGCTTTGCAGTTCAAGACAGAAACAACAACAAGAACAACAACAAAAAAAGATAAAACAAAACACCAACAACAACAATCATCCAACGTGACCTTATACTTCTCACCTTTGAAGTCACTCAGACATGACGTTTCATCAGACAAGTCTTCACAGTCAAACTTGCCGTCACATTTGTTGTTATAGGATATTGAATGTCCATTCAAGCATTTGAACGACTCCATGCTTATATTCACGAATTCTGTAGCTTCACTTTGGCTAGTAAAATGCTCATCTAAATGTTCAGAGGCAGTTTCTTCTTTATCATTTCTTAACTTATTGCATATCATTACGGCATACTATTTTTGGTCAAATATTTTTAATATCAGAACATTTGATAGCAGCCTATTAAGACATCATACATAATAATAGTTTTACGGCAGTTTATTTAGTCAAAACAAAAAATCACGGTCAAGATTAATAAATTTTAATATTAAATCAATTTTAGAAAGCAATCTTAACGGTACTTTCACGATTAAGTATTTTATTCTTTCTGCTTATATTCCCCATCCATATTCTTTATGCTAATGGTTTAATTATTTAACATATTTGCCTGTTATATCGCAAGGTTCCCATTCGGCATTAGTCTCACCAGTGTAACACCAGACATATCCGTTATTGAAAGGATCTCGGCAATAATTATCATCTAACCACTCTTTGATGACAAATTGTTGATCTTTTCTATCATCAAGGAATGATCTAGGACTGGTCCAATTTTTACATTCTTTTCCTGAGTATGTGGTATTCTTATATCCGTTATATCTTGAGGTTTTATTAGCACATCTACCCGTCCAGTTGTCTGCAAATGTTTTTGTACATTTTATTTGTTTTACTTCGCTATATAATTACATTTGATCAGTTTTATTTCGAAATAGAATTCGCTGTAAGAATAAATTTATAAACAATTGAAATAGGTTTAATAAATATGTCATCGTTATACAATTTGACAAAACTTCTTTCGTCTTTTATATTGCCTTAACCTTATGACTGTTGTAACTGATTCTACAAATGCTGTGGGTGCAGACCAACCGGCGATAATGGTTCGTTCTGTTTTAAATTCGGTCAAACTATTGAATTTTAATGATATTGCACTAAAACGATTTGTTCAGATCTGGAGATGGGCAAACCAATTAATATGTTTTGAGTGGAAAGAATAAATATGCTTTAGCTTATGTTGTGTGATTTTGAAAGTGACCTTTATCCACAGTTGGTCCTATCATTAGTTCTATTAATCTTCATTAATAGAATAGTGCTGAATATTTAAAAAACTGAAATGCTCTGGCTTTTCTTCAAACACAATTTTTACCTGTCGTCAAGCACGGTTCCGTCGGAAAAATAGGATCCGATGTGTGGCACCAAAGATAACCATAGTTGAAAGGATCTCTGCAATAATTCGATACGATTGCTTTATTTTCACTTCGAAAATGTACATCACCGTAAATAATAGTTTTTAAAGAATCCCATCTCCTACATGTTCTACCTCTGTATGTAGTATCCAACGTCCCGATGTATGTAAGAACAGAGAAACTTGGCTCTTCCATTTCATGCACTAAAATGATATTATTTGATGCTTGTGAGATCATGTGCAATTGATGAACTAGTAGTTTGTAAAACAAAACAGTAAACATCGAAAAGTAATTAATGTAAAAGCAAGTAAGTAAGAAAACTATATTCTTACAAAATGTTATAATACATTGATCAATACAATATATTTACAATAAATTAAATGAATTAAATTATTGAATTATATTATTAATATATTTTAGATACAATGTAACACGAACATAGAAAAGTTGTAATTTGTCATATCGCATGGACGTTAGTAAACGGTAAAATAAGAAAGAGGACAAGTTACCTATAGTGTAATAGTCAAACAAAACCATACTAAACTGAACGTGACGTGACGATTGACCTTCTTAATTAAGTTCCAAAAATATTCTTAACAAAATTTAGATTTTCAATTAAACTCTTAAATAAAAAAGCGAAATCAATTCCGATAGTTGTCTAAATACCGTAGTAGGAAAAGTTATTTTTAATAAAAAAGCGTTATTATTATGCGAAGCTAATCTTTAAGATCAAATGCCACGAAACTATCGTAAAGATATACTGTGCCAAATGGACAATGCTTCGGCAGACATTTCTTGCAACTGATAATTAAAATTTTGAATTTGATTACAGTCAACTCTTTTTAGCTTGATCTAACATAACTAGAATGCCATGTACTTTCAAAGTTTATAGAAGACCAATTCAGATACTGACGTGCAATCCAATTAAAGACATCTGCTCAATGAAATACAATTTGGACAGACCAGTAAAGATTTGTTAAACATGGCACTGAATAATATAACACCATTGACCAAAGTTGACAAAATTTGATACATAGTAATGAATCAAGATAAACTCGTATTAAGTCACAAAAAGAAGTGAACTTTTCACAAAGTTTCAATCCAAGCCCAAATATTATTCATTTTACTTGTCATTAAATTATACATATATAAGTGGACCTTTATTTATAAAGAAAAGAAAGATACAACTTTAAAGTGTATATCTACGTACGTATAAAAGGACACAAGCTTAGTTGGTTGGTGTCTGTGAAACACACAAGTAAACCATATCCATTTGGGTCCCGACAAAAATTTCCTTTTATGGATTTATACTTTGTACAACATGGAGGCCATGGTAAACAATCTTCGCCGTTTATACTCGTATTTAAAGTTCCACGGTAATCGCCTGTGCGTATCTGTTCATTCACAATTTTCCAGTCATTGCTGCTATATTTCTGATATCGTACATTGTTTTCTGATATTGCCGAAACTAATAAGATATTAGAAACTTAAACAGTATTCTAATCATATACTTATTTGTTGAAATGAATAATATATTGAATTTCCACTTGTCTTTTTAAATTTTTTAAACGTTGGAATGATGAATATTGTTGTGCATAAATGTAAACTTGGCAATGAGAATTAAGTAAGTATCAGCGATTGTACTGACTTAAGACATATCTTATATACAAGCATCTTTGTTATACATGTATATCAAAATATATGCCTGTACTAATGTTTCAGTCATTGTGTTTACCTGACAAAAAAGCCTTGACATTATTGATAGTACCATTTGTCAATTTGTACGTCAAGAAATACTTGATTTCGTTTCATAGAATGTTTAAGTGTGGAATTAGTCGATTAGAACGATTCACTCGCTTATATACATTATCTAATAAATTCTACCTTTGTGTTAATACATTTCTTCTACATACAACATTGCACACGTTGATAAAAATAGGTACATGTAATTGTGTCAAACATCGCAGAGAAGACGATTCTAAGAATGTAAGATTCTTCAATGCAAGTTTATTTGATACAAATGTTAACTAATAAATTTGCAAATTTTACAACCATATATGTAACATTTATGTAAAGATACAGTTTGTATATGCTTACCGTCAGCTTCATTTTCTATAGCTGTTTCACAGACAAAATAATCTGCAAGAGTTTGCAAACAGTCTTCGGCCTCCCAAGTATTGTTTGGTTCATAAAACTGGTAGTTCATTCTAACACAGTCTCCCCCAGTAGGTTCTCCTTGTTTCCTATCAATGAAATAACATATACTGAAAGTAAGCTTATGTTTAATACAAACCTAAAAACAAGCAGACATTTCATTATTATTACTGGATAGATTTTTTTTTATAAAAATGACGGTGTATGAAAATCTTATGGGTTAATCTCACATTCCACGTGTAAAACTTCTTTCCGTCTTTCTTACACATGCACGATATTCACCCTTCTGTTAACAACAAACTATTTATTTTGAAGTTATGAAAACTACTGACCATGCATTATATATAACATATGAGAGATCGTTCCAGAGAAATTGATTATTGGTAAAGGATGTCTTACGTCTGTCAAGCCCTGAAAAATATAAACATGACATGAAACGAAATTTTTTAAGCCACTCTTCGTTTTAAGTTGAATGTCAGATAGTAGATGTGTTTCAAACATTTTTTTTGAACAACGAAGCTTAGTTTATGAAATTTATTATCTCACAAAGTTTGAAATTTATAGACCAGTCTAAGAGTCTTTCAGATTGTGACAACAATACTTCAAGTACGGTATTATCCGAAACTGCTCAAAGAACCACAAGATCAAAACTACTAGAACGACTTATTCTTCTACACTTTTTCCATAATTCATGCCATCTAGTATAAGCGCAATAGAGATTTATAATTAAATTGTGAAACCATCACATAGACAAACAAACAAAAAAACATCGTTTTTTTAATATATATTCCACGGTATGAAGAAAACAAAAAGAATAAATTTACTAAAAAAACAAACCGATATGGGCATAAAAGCTGGCATTCATTTTTTCTGATATGACTTGAATTTCTCCAGACATATCAAAATATCGTTTCTCCCGTAAGTTATACTTGACAAACTGAAGTTCTTCTAAAGAATTTATTGATACGAGTGTCATATATCGTCTCCAACATTCAGTGTGGGCATTTTGCCAAGTTGTCAACTCGGGAAAAAAGCTATAGCATTTCTTAAATTTGAAGACACATACTGCAAGAAAAAGAACAAATGTTTTATATATACCCAAAAATAGGTCAACGTGACACAGAATTTTAATACATTTAACGTTACAAAAATGTATAAATATATACTTATTTGATATATTTATAACATTTAAGCTTACAAAGTAAAAAAGCTATTGAATTATAATCAAAATGGCATGATTGACACGTTCTTACCTGGACAATTTCCAGCCCCTACACATTTCTGAAGACCAATGTCATCTCTTAAACAATATCTGGTATCATTAAGGATGCAATGTCTTGTACGCTCTCTCGTCCCTACTCCACAATCTGCAGAGCAGTTTTTCCAAGCTGACCAACTACTGTACTCCGAATTTTCTACAAGGAAATCAAAAGAGCGGAATATTCAAATGACAGGAGCAGATAACAAATCAATGCCTGACTTCACAATAAACGCTTAAGACCAACATAAAAAAACTTAAAATTGTAAAAAAACAATGAATACCAACTTGAGATGAGGAAATAAATCACAAATATATTTAATTTTTTAGAATAGTTTTATTAATAAATAGAAAAGTCGCTATCTAGAAAATAGACCAACTCTTTCTGATTTATACGTATATATATTGATATTATAATACTTGATCTTGTAACTAATCGGAATTGCTGATATTTGTTTTAATCATGATTGACATTTTACGAAATTTAATTTCGTACGAACTATAAAAAAGAAATACATATTTGTCAAATAACACATATCTTTTATTCTGCAGTGAAAGGTCGTTACACAATAATTCATATTTACTTACCTAGCAATTTTACATTACTTGTTTAACATTACGTATTTGTTTGTTTGTAATAATTTTTATAGTA